GAAATCTGAGCCCACTATACCCCCCTCTACGTCCTCTTCAAATCGCCAACACGGCGTACCTATTCGGCAAGCCCGTTGCCTACTTCGGCGGCAGCTCGCCGAGTGACTCCCTTGCAGCGGGCGGCCTGGACCCGAAGGCGGAGGGCGTCTATGCCGATGCCGACCTCGAGAAGGTGGCTAGCGGCCTCGTGGACGGTCTTAAGACATTCAAGTTCACTGCGCGATACCCCGTGGATAAGACCCAGTAGAGTAAAAAGGAGAGGGGTGTTAATTACTTTAGTTTCTTGTGTATGTAATATGCTTCGCTTCGGCTGTGCTGTATATATTTAGCTAAACATTTATGCAAATATCGTTAAACATGCTGTGGTCTTGTCTTTTGTTAGTTAGTGTTGAAGTCCGGAGAGACGTTAGTTCTATTTACTAACAACGTAGTAGTGTTTTTGCCTTAGTGAAGTAGATTTTAAAGTTGTACCTTTAACTACCCATTATTTTGGGTTGCGGCTTGTGATTGTGTACGAAGGATGTCCTACAATAAGTTATACCGCTTTGCCATGCCGTATTTTTACTAAACGAATGTCCTAAGAAACGCACATACGGGTAATTATTGCTAGACAAATACTAGATAAATTAAAGAAAAATAGGGAGGAAAAGGGGTATGTGTTGCCGCCATGCTTGAGGTAGTTATGCAGTTTTAATATATACGTGGTAACTAGCGGTCTAAGTATATTCTAAATTGGTTCTTACATAGGTAGGTAAGGGCATGCTGAGGGGGACTTTGTATTTAATATTGCTCGATAGCCCCCTTTGCGATATCCGTAGCATCCCGTGAACGTTTAATAGCTCTTAAGTTGGAGATTACGGTATTTATATTAATTCTCCAAGTCGGAATAGAATATTATTTGGCTCTGTATGCCCTGACTATATAGGGAGGCAACGGAGGCGGAGGCGCCTAGTCCTGGCGTGAAAGCCTATACAAGTCTATAAAGTTCCTGGTATGCATCGTATGTCGAGTATAGAGCAGTAGGAAAGAGGTTATGGGATATCTTACTAAATTATATCGCAGGGAGTGATATATAACTGACTTCTGATCCAGATAGGAGTTTCTTACGCTGGCATTAGGTATCATTCGAAACAAGGCCAGACATATTATACATAAACTCAAGAACTTTGTAGAAAATCAAGATGCAAGCCGCATATGATAAATCACGCAATATGTATTTAAACTACCCTTTTGTAAGCTAGCATATCTGGTAGACTTTTATTAATACCCAACCTCATCTACACGCCTCCCCTAGAAGCAAAGCTGCCCAAGCAAATACAACCCCATTAAGGCCTCCAACAAGGCCGCAGATGCCTAGACTTCTAAAAAGCAAAATGCAAAAGCCAACGATAGGCCAGCAATACGCCCGTCCTGTACCCCGACCCACCCGACCCAGACTCTCGGGACCGTCCCCCCCCCCTTTTATTCATGCACCTACATACGTTTCTACCTACCTACCTACCTGGGTACCTAGGTAGGTATACTTGTCCACATACATATCCGTACCACATGACCGCACCCCCATGCCGCCGCCAGAGACAAAAAGCTCGAACTCATGCACGACATCGTGCGTCGCATGACGGTCGTAGTCACGTGCGTTCGACCCGAGTTCTCGGGTCCCCTGAGGAGTGGAGGAAAGGGGAGAGGGGTGCGGTGGAGAAGGGTGGGTGAGTTGGGGTGGTAGCTATGTATGTAAAGTCGGGCCTCCGGGCTTTTGATGAACTCCGGTCTTTGGGCTGGTTGGTTGGTTGGTTCTTCTGCCGGGTTAGGGAGACTATATTCTTTTCACTTTATAATGTCTATGTACCTATATATAGCTCTACTCTCGTAATTGACGTCTTGTATTATTATGTATGTAGCTTGACAAGACATTAGCCTACATACGAAGCAAGCTATAGAATATCCCCTTCACCCCCCTTTTTAATTATAAGTCGCTCTTATGGGGTAGTTAATTGTAGAAGCTGCCGCATTTCGGGGCTCGGACGGGGGCTAAGTCCGTACATTTTACTTATGAAAAGAATTATTAGGTACTTAGAGAAGCTATCCGCGAAGTCTTCATCAGACGTTAGAATTCGATATAGTACTAACTAGAGATGACAAACTACTAGATTGCTTGTCATGCTTCAAATCCCCTTCGACAATGGCGTTAAGTACCCGAATTCAGGCTTGCTTCTATTAATAAGCACCGTATGATACCGCTCTGTGCCATGTATTAGGCTCGTCTCTCGGTATAGGCCTGTTGCTGGTTTTAGTTTAAGATGAGCATCTCTCAACTTAGTATGTCAAGAGTTGTCTGTCACTGGTCCTAAGAGATGCCATATATTCAGCACCCCAATAATAGACTTGAAACAAAGCTTGCTCTCAACACCCCTAGAGTTATTAGTTAACTCTAAGTAAGTAACCCTTAGGTTCGACTGCCGGAGATTTAATGATATACTGGCACGTTGAGCTTATAAAAATGTTATGAACAAGCTCATTCAACTCCTTTATCTAGCTCTCTAGTTGACACATCTTGTTGTGAAATATGCGCTTCTCATTACACAACTAATACCAGGCTAAAAAAGAAGAGCTCGATACCAATATAAATGATGACTCTTCCCCTGATTATTCGGGATGCCTCCCTAATTCATACCATATACCGCATTCTTATCAGGACGAAGCAGGTGTTCCTTATGTCTCCAAGACAAAAGCCTGCTCTAATCGAGCGATACGAGACTTTCTACTATGAGAACACCTTGCTGAAAAAGCCATTCCAGCCACTAATCTTCTTCACCCTCAGCATCCTGATCCTCGTCCTCGTCTTCCACCTGCTGTGTAGATCGGCCGTTGGCTTCCCTGTGCTCCACATCACCATGTCCGCTCTGCCCGCCCTCTCCTTCCTCATCTTCTCCTTCATCTTCTCTACCGTACGGATGATCTCTATATAAGCTCATCCACGCCCTAATATCGTCGCTAGGATCCTCGACTACGACGTCTAGCTGGTCCACGTTGCGTTCCTCAATGTTCAAGTCCGCCGGTACGAGTCCTATCGTGCGGGCGATATTCTTGGCGCGTTGGGGTTTGATAACGCTGCGTTGCATGACCGGGTAGTAAAATGCTGCCTTTTGGTCGATTGCCTCATCATCGTTAAATGCCAGCACCACCTCCTCGTCATACTTGGTTTGATTGTTGAGCTCGAGCTCCTGTGCTGTCTCATACGTTCGTACCCGTGGGAATAAGAAGTTGGGTTTGCCGTTGCTCTTGTGCGTGTAGAGACTGTCATCGTCGTGGTCCGGGTTCTCGATGTCGAACTTCTGCCGGAATCGCTCAGATGCGTCCAAGTTATCATTGAGGAAGAAGTCGTAGTCCATCAAGTTCTGCGGCTTGGGGACGTGTTGTGGATCCCGCTCGTGGGCCTGCATGGCCATCGCGAAAGCAGCATCCTCGGCTTCTGTCTTGCTAATAGGCTTGAGGATTCCGTTGAGGAGACGCTTGTCGTATACACGAGTTGCGGGGAGAGGATTATGAGTGAACTTGAATGTGACGTAGGCACCAGAGTCTGGGAAGGCCTCGAGATCGGGAACTAAGGGGTAGGCATCTACCAGCTTGACGTTCCTCTTTGAAGGATGTTTGACCCTGCTCTTATCCTTCAGGTTCGCAGCTGCCACGGCAAAGCCCTGATCTATCTTCTTTTTGATGTGGGCTGGAGAGTCAACGTCTCGCTCGGGAGAGGGTCGCTTCAAGGGGCGCTTAGGAGCCGGGTTGTTGCTGCGTAAAGCTCCACCATCATGACGCTTGGTGGTGACAGAAGAGATATACTCTGTACGTCGGAGGAATGATACGTTGGCTTCGGCTGGCTTGGGATGGCCTAGGCTGCCGGGACCTCTGAGAAGAGCTCGATCGTGGGGATGGATTTGTGGTGGTTGCGTAGGAGCTTGGATAGCTGTATCTAGTCAGTCACGAAACTATCGCAGCTCTATAGTTTTGCATACAGCTTTCATCGCCATCAAATATGCCTGGCATTCCCACCAGGTCCAATGGCATGCCTAGTTCCGCATCGGCTTCGATATTCAGCGGCTGCTCCCTGGCTAGCCTCGAGGCGAAACCGGGGGCTGTGTACTGGCCGCTTGAGAGGCCGGTGTTGGGTATATCGAGAAGCTTCGGTGGATTGGGAGGAGGCGGTAGCGCATTGGAGAATCGGATTCTTGCGATGAAATCCTGGTGGACGGAGCGATGCTCACCGCTGCGCGACGAGGAAGCCATCCTGATGATGGCTTAAAGATAGATAAAACAGGGATTGGAAACAAAGAATCGGCGATGGGAATAAAGTCTTCAATGATACTCTTTAAGAATCTCAGTGTCTAAAGCTGTGCTTAATAAGATATCTGGACGACGTACAATTGGGAGGAGTAAGATTTTAAATTGAATGTCGTGATCGCAAGTTTAAAGTTATCTAAGGTTGATGTTCTGCGCGTTGTTGCGTCGCGGCGTCGCGATGAGGTGGATACTTCCCCAAAGTTTAACTTTAACAGTCGCAAAAAAAAGTTGTCAGCTGTAAGTTGGAACAGCCGCCCGAGCTTTATCGTTATCGCAAACCTGCCTTTTGTACTGCCAACCTCTCCAACGTCCTCAACTTGATAACGTGATACCTAGGTAATCAATATAATAACTAATGGACCAAGCACCACAATTTCATAAATATTCTTTAATGCCACTGATGCCCCAACTGACTTTTAAGGCCGATTATTATTGTTCTTCAGTACAATGTCTAATGATGATGGTTCGGAAGAGTCAAACCTGCGCTGCGTCCGCTTCCATGCTATCCTCATTCCTCGTTCTGCCTCCTAAGGCCAACTAGCATTAATTCGGACGCTCACAACGTTACTCCGTACCTCAGAACCCCAGCTCCTATGTGCCTCAATACAAAAAGCCTGTATCGTAATTTGTACAAGTCAAACCCTAGCGTACACCACCTCAATAAAGGTAGACTTCATTAAAATGTACCGAAACTGTCTACACTTTTAGTCTAGACCCTTTCAGTAGCCTTTCCCAGCGTTGCCCTGATTAATCCCAGCATGATCAAATTATCTTCGTAAACACATGCTTATGAAGTACTGGTCTTACCGTACTTCGCCTTGCCGAATGAGAATGGGACATATCGGTACTTAATCATATGCTGAATTTGCTTGCGCACTGGAGACAAAGTTAGCAACTCTAATTCATCCTCATGTAAATAACTATTGTAACTTACTAGTCAGGACGAAGAGGATGATCCAGTACATAACCAATACAGGCCAGAAGACGGGAACGTCAAAGATCTCGAACCAACTGCACGTGAAGGCGATGGTGACAGCGCGGGTGGCCTCATGCCAGAACTTAAACTCGGGCAGTCGTCGAATAAATGGTCGGAATTCCTCGTCCTGCTTTGTGGGCAGGCCACCAGCCGATCCATCTTCCATCTCATTGTCTAGGAGCTCGTTCGAAGGGTCGAACTTGGGCTGGAGGAAAGCTAGGAAGAGATTAAGAAGGTAAATGCCGAGAGCATATGCCACTGGAAATAGTTAGCTATGTCTAGGTGCTTATCACTATAGAATGGCTTCCTTACCGATGTACCAGCCTTGTGCGAAGACGATGCGGAGAAAGAAGATGCCTAGAAATGCACCTGTTCCAATCCATCGTTGCAAGACAAATGGCGTTGATCGATCTAATAGGGCTTGATATTGCTGTGCACTGTTAGAAAAGCTTCCGCTGGTTTATGGCTACCGGCGCAAAGACATACCCGCTGGAGCTTAGAAGTCTGGGCCGTAACGGCTGCGAAAGGGGTCTGATCAGACTCGACGCTCTCCATGGTGGATGATGCGATAATGCGACTATTATTTTCTCCGAATGGTAATAATTTGGACTTGGTCAGACTCGCGCTGAATATCCGTAAAATATTTGTAACGAGGCGAGTGCGATCGTAAAGAGAAATTGGTGACGCCGGAATAAGTAAAGAAGATCGATTGTCTTAGTAGGTAGCAATTTGCACGTCGCGACTTTTCGCTTGCTTGCGACGCCAGGAGAGAGCCAACAAATCTGGCCAGCTAATTAAAACTTCATTAGCCACATGCACAGCCACCAAACTATAATTGGGTCTGTTTTAATTGGTGTCTGGGCAAGCTGCTAAGGTTACGTGTGTGATGCAATGATGCACAGGCAGGCCTTTAATTTCCCCTTTAGTTGCACATAACTTGATACAAGACCTCGGGATATTTCAGTACTTTGTAGCGAGGGTTTGCTTATTCAGCTACGGCTCAATATCCTCGGCCAGCTTCGGCTTCATGAGCTCATACGTAAGGGAAACTGTACATCATTGTTTAAGCTTGAGCTTCACATAAACTTAATATTATCTTATTTGAGACGTGAATAACCTCTTATTCACTCCATTGCGAATTACACAAATTACAAATCAATCAATCACTGACTCACTCTATTCAATTGGTCCCGTGCAATTCCATTGAAAGGCTATATATCAGAGTGGTTACGATTCATTAGCTTCCAAACCATGAACACATTACGGACTTTGAGGCCACTAGCCTCACGCATCCAACCTTACACACTCCCTAGAACAGTCCGCCAATTCTCTGCTACGGCAACTAGGTCTTATGAGTATTTACTAGTATCAGAGCCTAAGCCGGGCGTTGGCCAAGGTGAGACAACGGCATTTTCCTCTACGGCTATTGATTAACCTAGACACCTCAACTAGTCACTCTAAATAGACCTAAGGCCCTCAATGCCTTATCTACGCCCCTCATCAACGAGCTCAATCAGGCCCTGGGCGAGCTCAACTCGTCGGACAGTATCTCAGCTATTATTCTGACAGGATCTGAAAAGGCCTTTGCCGCCGGCGCGGATATTAAGGAGATGGCATCTCTTACCTTCTCCGAGGCGTACACCAAGAGCTTCATCGAATCATGGTCCCAACTCACGACGCAAGTAAAGAAGCCCATAATTGCAGCCGTGTCCGGGCACGCCCTCGGCGGCGGTTGCGAGCTCGCTATGATGTGCGACATCGTATACTGCACCGATCAGGCCAACTTCGGGCAGCCTGAGATCAAGCTAGGTACCATACCGGGCGCCGGCGGGAGCCAGCGACTGACGCGAGCCATCGGCAAGTCACGCGCCATGGAGGCAATCCTAACAGGCAAATCGATTTCGGGAGCCTACGCGGCACAGTGGGGACTCGCTGCTAAGTCTTTCCCCACCTACGAAGCGCTGATGGAGGGCGCGCTGAAGACGGCCGAGACTATCGCGAGCTACTCCAAGGTAGCAGTTATCGCTGCTAAGGAGGCAGTGAACAAGAGCCAGGACCTACCGCTGCGGGACGGCGTTGAGTACGAGAGGCGCGTGTTCCACTCGCTTTTTGGCAGTCAGGACCAGAAGATTGGCATGAAGGCTTTTACGGAGAAGAAGCTGCCGGAATGGAAGCATGAGTAGTGGATATTGTATTTACGACACGGTGCGACGGTATGGGGAAAGTGTATGAAGCACTTAATTACATCCGTCCTGTCTCAGTTTTAGGAGATGTAGAATTTATACAAGATACCTTATATGACTGCTTGCTCATCAGAATCCAAGATTCCGAATCATATAAATACTTCGTATTGCGTCTTTGAAATAAACCCGTTTTCTCCCAGCAGAATTAGGAACAAATGTCAATATAATCAATAGTACACATATCTCAATATACAGGATATACGTAGACGTTCGTATTAATATATTGTATACAATGTACCTACGTAAGTAGACATGTCTATGCGGGCCGAGACCATCTACGGAACAGCCACGGCTACGCTCAGATGGCGGGGTCGATACGGAATACTACATGGGTTTGGGTTGTCGGATAGGGCTGACCGGGGATTTGGAGCTAGGCCTCATTAGCGTGGCCGTATTTATACAGGTGGTTATGCACAGAAAACGGATCGTGAAACGGAGTGCATAAGTCAAGCTGCTGTGAATAGTTATGTAGCTCTAGAATTGTTATTTCAAAAGCGCACCTTGAGACTCTACACAATACTTGAGCTACCTACTCGGAAACTCGCTAATGCCATGTAAGCCCTTCTTTAAACAGATTGAGCCTTGTATATGCCAAGCCAGCATAAAGATAAGTGTTTAGGTAGTTTTGCTTGTCATTTACCGCAGTAGAATTTGCATGCAGATAAGACCATTTAGTGTGAACACGAGAAGCTTACAGGGAGGGTTATTCATAAGCTACTCAGACCGAAGATAGAAGTTGAAATTGTAAGTGCACCAGCCGCCATTGCAAATAGAGGATGGATATGATACTTAATATGCCCATAATGGCCCATATATATACTCTCCTCGTATCTAAAAGTAACTAAGCATTAACCATAGACTTGTAAAGACCAATAATGGTTGCTCTTAAGATTATAATGTCAAGCTTAAGAGGTAATATTCTTAATCTGGAAAATACAATAACCAAATTTCTAAAAGATCATGTGTGATTATTAAGTTTCATCTGGGTAAATTTCATGTTTTAGCTTCGAGGCTTGTGATCAGTTATGTCATTGGGCCAACTACATAATATGCTTTTGAGGTGTCACAAGAAACGGAGAATAAACGCGGTATTAATAAAATTATGCAGTCTAACTAGTTCTACATATATTGCATTAAATCGAATATCTCTGATGATCTACAATGTACCTAATATCCTTCAATCTTCAACTCCATTTCTTCTTCACCGCCGACTTAGGGGCGCAGACAATTGCATATGTAGATGAAAGAAAGCTGACTATGGCTCTGACATAATTCCAAACGTTTCTCCTCAGTTATCGTTTCTTTCTAAGGTCACCGAGCCCTGCGGTCATATGCATCGGATGCGAAGCTAACTAGCACCATGCAGTTTGATTCATCATTCTAATGGTGGCGCGGGACTCGATACGAAGTACTTGGACTCGGCGGTACAGGGGCATTCCAGGTTATCCCCCCACCACCATTAACTCTCGCGTTAACCGCCCTCGTATAAAGAAAACGTAGGACTTTCAATATCCCCTAGTAATAAGTCGACAAAACGCGCGATGACCTCTTCAAGGCCTGGTGTCGATTTAGAGAAGGAGTTGACCTGTTCGGTAGGTTTGCATCTTATTTCAAGCGGTGGAAGCTGGAATTCAAGGGAATTCAAGGGATACTAAACGGTTACCAGATCTGTACGGACATCCTCTACCAACCCCTAACCCTCCTCGACTGCCTGCACACCTTTTGCGGCTCCTGTCTAAAAGACTGGTTTTCATGGCAAAAGACAACGGCAGAAAATTCACCAAATCCTCTATCGCCCGGCTCCCTAAAATTCACCTGCCCTTCTTGCCGCGCTCAAGTTCGGGACACCCGTCACAATGCTACCGTTACTACTTTGCTCGACATGTTCCTAGCCGCGAATCCGGACAAAGCTAAGCCGGACGACGAGAAAGAGGAAATGCGCAAGAAGTACAAGCCTGGGGATAATGTCTTACCGCAAATCCAAATACCTCAGAGATCGCTCGAGGAGAGGCGGATAGAAGAGATGGAAAGGCAGATGCTGGAGCAGGCACGCCAGATGAGCTTGCGAGATGCTGGTGTCGGATCTGCAGAGGGATCTACGACGAGGCGGCATCATGGCCATAGCCGGTCCGAAGATGGGAGGAGCAGATCCGAATGGGACAATAGTCGTGAGACACGGCATCGAGATGCGCGTGACAGACCCCTGCGAGAAGAGGGACACAGGCGCCGACATGACTCGAACGGCATGTTACAACCTGATTTACCCCCGGATGAACGGCGCCGCTATCGTAGTGAATCACAGCATCGCTCTCGTGATTCATCGAGGACTAGGAGGAGACAGGTTGAGCACCAAGCGTCGATAAGATCTCTGATCAGTTCGTCCGATGTGGACTTCCGTGACATAGAGAGAGAAATAGAAGAGTTTGCGCGACAAATTCAGGAGGAAGGCCTTTTAGATGGATTGGATTTAGATAACATCGACCTGGCCCAGAATGACGAACTAAGCCGAAAGATCACCGAAGCATACCGACGGAGGCAGAGGGATCGAATTCGTACCCAACAACCTAGGAGAAGCGACCCGGTCATCACGTCTCATAGACCCGAGCCTCTGCAATCTTCTTTGCGACCTCCTCCGACAGACACATCCCGACCTAGCAGCCGACCAAGATCAAGGTCGGCGCATAGTAGATCGGCTACGAGCCAAGACCAAGTAGACGATCGCAGTCGACCCCCTGTTACGTCAACTCATCTAGAGGTCTGTGCTAATCCAGAAAGGCGGCGTCGGCGGAGGACTTCTAGCGACGCTAGAAGCACAACCGATCCCGTACGGCCAAGAACAGCAGAGACAAGGCCAGCAGCAAGATCACAGACAGATCTAACTTTAAGACCGCAGAGTACTGACCCATCGGCACGCCGTCCTTCCGTCTCCGAATCGAGGAGCTCTAGTATGCCTACCACAAATGCGGCCGGACAGCCGCCGCCGGGAGAAAACTCTCGACATAGAGATCTCTCTTTTAGCGCACGAACATCTGCTACTCAGATCTCACGGACGCCCTCACCGGATCCTCATTCTGATGATTCTAGCATGGAACACCCAAAACGTGCACGACGGCCGTCAAGTCTCGTAGCTCCACAGTCCCCATTACCTAGCCTTGGACTCATATCATCGCCCTCGCATCAAACGCATCACCAACGAACGAAATCCCAATTTTACCAAGAGCCATCCATCACGTGTGCTCGATGCGAACGGCCGCATATCGAATATGAACTTCACTATAACTGTTCAAGATGCGCCAACGGAACGTGGAATATCTGCTTGAGTTGTTATCGTTCTGGGAAAGGGTGTGAGCATTGGTTTGGTTTCGGATATGCGGCATTTAAGAACTGGCAAAGGGTTGTAGCAGACGGCAACGAGGGGCTTGAGCCGCCGCATATGTTGACCTCGTGTCGATACAAGCAACCCAAGTATACGCCAGGCGGAGCGGACGGACGAAGAACGCTTACTACGGATGACCCGGCTAATCGTTTAGAAAGCGGCATGTTCTGCGTAGGATGCCTATCCCTGGCTAATGAGTGCTTCTGGCGCTGCGAATCTTGCAACGAAGGCGACTGGGGTTTCTGCAACAACTGCGTAAATACGGACAAGAGTTGCACGCACCCTCTTCTTCCACTGTCCTATGTCGCACCAGGGACAGGCTCTACTACTCCGCCGGCTAGTCCCCGGCTACCTAAACGTCCACGAGGTGCGACATTCTCATCGGGCCCTAACGCCGTTAGCCTTGGAAGTTTTAAGTCGCTTACTTTTACGACGACGTGTGAGGTTTGCCATGGGCGTATTCCACCTGCCGATCAGAGATATCATTGTTTTGAGTGTACTAGCAAGGACTTAACGGATGGGCAACCGGGCGACTACGATATATGCGAAGAATGTTATACCGGCTTGGTCCACGACAAGCGCATATCGGACGAAAACGGTCATACGGGATGGAGACGCTGTTTAGAAGGTCACAGGATGGCCATTCTTGGATTCATGGAGGGCTCACTTGGACTAAGGCGTCGCATATTACGAGATATCGTCGGAGGAAGGAGTTTACGCACGGAGCCGTACGAGGGAACCGGTGTCCCGGATGACGAGCAATACCAGCCAAGGGATGCGCGTGTGCAAAAATGGAGTTGGAAAGGTCCGAACGGATCAAAGCTCGAGAGACTTGTAGCTGTAGACGTTGCGGCGACGGCACCTGCATTGGGCACAGAGTTGTTCCCTCCCGACGGAGGTGCAGGCTCAAGGGCGGTCGCGAAGTGGTCTTGGTACCCGCAGGCCGGCGTTACAGATGAGCTATTATTCCCCAAAGGAGCGGAAGTGAGAGAGGTAGAAGACGTGAACGGCGAGTGGCTATTCGGGAGCTACATGGGCGCTGAGGGATTGTTTCCCTCGCCGTACGTACGGATTATTGAGTAGCGATGGCCATGACAGTTACGATAACGACGTTGACGCTGCATCTTGGACGGACAATTTATTTGCATTTATCTACATGATATGCATGGACATATACCATGGGGCAAGATACCTTGATACGTAATATTATTATGATCGGTCATGATAGACTGAATTTAGTACGGTCTCAAACTAGTTAGCTGGCATTTATGAATATTATGAAATGAGCAATTCAGGTTATTACAAACTTGTATTTTGATACTTTTTGGTTCTTCTGCCGTTGTGAACTTTTCATGACATTATACAGTTGTTAGGGGGTAGGGGTAGGGGTTAGCTAATATATATACTCCCATAAACACATGGGCTGACCCGACAGCGGGAACCGGGATGACGTGATTAGGAACCGGCTAACCTAGCTGGAACCCGAACCGATGCAATTGCCCCTCCAAAATAATTTCTAGGACTGCAGGGTCCTTCGAATTGGAGTTTCCGATCTTTATTAATCTCCTACCTTATTTCCTACTCTTCGCCGCTAGTCTTCACATCTTCACATGCGTCTTATTCTTTAGCGACGAAGAGGAGAATATAAGAGTAGCAACCAACCTGAATTAAACACAATATGTTCCAACGTAGCGTGCGAACAATAACGACCACGGCGCGTAGAGCCGCGGCCGTCGCACCGGCTGCCGCGAAGCCCCCGAGTCCGCACACAATCGCCGTCTCGAAGGCTCAAGGTATCGCAAAGGGATTGACTGGTGGTACGGATCTCTATTCTTCCCGTCTAGCCGTGCAAGCAAACCACGGGATGGTGCATTAGGTAGGTACCTATGTAATGTAAACCAAGCTAACGGAACCCGTTTCTCCCGCAGCAATCGGCAACACGCCGCTCATCCGCATGAACAAGCTCTCGGAGCAGACGGGCTGCGAAGTCCTAGGCAAAGCCGAATTCATGAACCCCGGCGGCTCGGTCAAGGACCGCGCGGCGCTATACGTAGTCTTGGACGCGGAGGAGCGCGGGCTGCTGAAGCCGGGGGGCACGGTCGTCGAGGGCACGGCGGGGAACACGGGCATCGGCCTGGCGCACGTGTGTCGCTCCCGCGGCTACAAGCTCGTCATCTACATGCCCAACACCCAGTCCCAGGGCAAGATCGACCTGCTGCGCCTTCTCGGCGCCGAGGTCTACCCCGTCCCCGCCGTCGCCTTCGACAACCCCGACAACTACAACCATCAGGCCCGCCGGCACGCCGAGAGCTTGGATAATGCCGTCTGGACGAACCAGTTCGATAACACGGCGAACCGCCGCGCGCATATAGAGACGACTGGGCCGGAGATCTGGACGCAGACGGACGGGAGGGTCGATGCGTTTACGTGTGCTACGGGAACCGCGGGTACGCTTGCGGGTGTCACGCGCTACCTGAAGGATGTATCGGGCGGCCGCGTGAAGTCGTACCTGGCGGACCCGCCGGGCAGCGTCTTGCACTCGTACATCCAGTCCGGGGGTAAGCTAGTCGAGCGGACCGGGAGCAGCATCACCGAGGGGATCGGGCAAGGACGCATCACGGACAACCTAGCGCCGGACGTGGCGTTACTAGACGGCAGCGTGCACATTTCTGACGAGAAGAGTGTTGCCATGGTGTACAGCGCCCTGGACGAGGAAGGTCTGTACTTGGGAGCCAGCAGCGCGCTGAACGTGGTTGCGGCGAAGGAAGTCGCGGAGTTACTTGGCCCGGGACATACCGTGGTCACGATGCTGTGCGATGGCGCGTATCGGTATGCGGACCGCTTGTTTTCTCGGAAGTGGCTTGAGAGCAAGAAGCTGCTGGGCGCGATACCGAAGCATTTGGAGAAGTATATCGTGCTGCCGTAGGTTACCTACCTACCTACCTACCTACCTACTTAGATGTACATGGTTAGAAAGGGGTTGTAGGAAAGGGGTAGGGCGGAGGAAGAAAAAAAAACATAGGAGACTGGAGGCGGCGTTTAGAGATGCATGCATGCATATAAGCGAGATGTTTGATCGAATAGGGACTGCATACTAATGCACCTTAGGTAGTAAATATCGATCAATTTGTATATATGTACAAGTACAATTGCGGCGGCGGCGGCGGTATTATACACATTGGATCTGATCTGATCAATTCCGAATCTATAATGACTTCTGTACAAGGCCAGATTAATTCTTTGGATTTTTTTCTTCTTCTATCCTTTTCATACAGCGTTATCGTATAGTTTCTGATACACCGCCTCCCCCCTTTTCTTGCCCGTACCCGCGCGAGCTTCTTGAACCTCACTAGCCAGAACATCCCGACGGGATCGGAGCTGTGCTGCGAGCTCCGCGTTATCGTCCTCGAGGACCTCGACGGCTATGTCGAGACCCCGTAGTAGAGGCGCGGTTATGACGAGGAACTTGTTGGGCTCTTTTAGGTACCCCATCTTGTCGTATTCTTCGTAAAGTGCCTGCGGCTGCACTTCGGAGAGCTTCTTGCCTTCGGGCCATAGCCTGACTACGTCCCGCGCGTGCTTGACTAGCTTGTCGACTATAGCTTCATTGACCTCGTCACCTTGCTTCGACACCAGCGCCGCGGCGAGATGTAGCGGCGCAAGGAGAACCATGGGGTCCCTGTGCAGCGGCAGTTCTCCTTCAACCACCGGGTCATTCTTCAGACGCTTCGGCTGATGCGCCTCGAGGTGCAGCAGCTCCAGCACTATTTCCGCCCATCGTAGAGCCTGCGCCGTCTCTTCCACCGGATTTTCATTCGCATCCGCATCGACAGCCTTCATCACGACGGCATGCAAGACCTCGTTGACCTTCTCGCTCGAATCGAGGCGGAACCCCGTCCGCGCCACCCCGCGCGCCAGCTCGATGACTTCGAAGATGCGGCCCTTGGCGCCGAGCACGCGCACTACTTTGCAGTAGAAGCCGTGGTCGAAGTGGCGGTCCGCATACGCGATGCCCTCGATCAGAGGGCGCAGGTTGGCGAAGTCGTCGGGGGTGTCGAAGAGGGCGATGGCGTCGAGGACGGAGCGCCGCGTCTGCGGGATGTCTTTGAACGGGTTCTGGTACCTGAATTTCAGAACCTCGCCGTCGATCTCGATGATGATGGGGTCTGATTGGAGCTTCTTCTCGTATTTTGGCGAGAAGATCTTCTTGCGCTGGTCCGTCGGTAGGTATGCCGGGAGGATGATCTTGTGCCGGATCGTGCCGAGGAGTTCGTCGAGCTCGGAGGAGGAGGTTTGTGTGAAGTGTGCGATGCCCGCTGGGATGGGTTAGAAATGTTTGGGTCTTAAATATCTCGTATGGAAGGGGGGAGAGAATAAAGGAGAGTATACCATTTCGTCGGGCGGAAGACGAGAAGGTCCGCCGTGTAGATCCGGTTATCCTCCTTGTAGCAGATTCCCAAGCGGCACTGCTCGCGCACAATGTGCTCAGCGCCGAATGTCTCGACATATCTCCAACCTTACTTAACCACTATACCGCATTCAATTCCACTTTGTTACTATATTTTTTTCTGCTTCTGCATACTACTACTCGTCAAGATCGTTAAAATCCCCCCCGCGGTTGAAGCTTCGGAGCTCAGATAATTTATTCCATTAACTTTAACTAAAATTTCCAATGCCGGCCGCCGGCAGCTGCTGCGTGCCAAGACCCGACGCCGCAACAATTTTCCTCCACCCGACTATCGATAAGCTCCCGTCGGATCTTCAAGACCCACAACTTTCAAGTTGCGTCTTGCAAAGCTTCCAAGATTTCAACGACGCCCTTTTCCAATCCGTAGAGGAAGTCCGGTGCAGAGAGCCTACGACACAATGATCACCCAATCTGCGCGGCGGCCGCTGAGCAGCTGGAAGGCCGTCCTGCGACGTACCCGCCAGCAGCGGCAACAGCAGATGCCGCAGCTATTCCGCGCAATGGCTACCGAAGCAACTCCCACGGCCTCTGCTTCTACACCACCACCACCACCTCCTCCTCCTCCGGCCGCCGTGAAACCCACGCTCTGTACGTCCTCCATCCTTCCCCCACCCGACTCTCAGTCAAATCACAACCAATTGAACTAACCAACCCTCTCCTCCCTCCAGACGTCCGAAAATCCAACCTCCCCCACAAACCCATCCGCACCGCCTTCGCAGTCTACCCCCGCGTGCCCTCGGCTCGCAAATCGCACCCCGCCCCACTAGACTCGTACCACGCGCAACAAATCCACCGCCTAGACTACACCGGCGCCCGGCGCGCCCTATTCTCCAAGTCGAACCCCGACGCCGCGAAGCCCGGCGACGTGCTGCAGGTATCCACGCGCCGCGGAGGCGGGGAGCCCTTCGCGGGCGTATGCCTGTCGATCCGACGAGCAGGCGTCGACACCGCGATCCTGCTGCGCAACCACCTGAGCAAAGTCCCCGTCGAGCTCTGGTTCAAGATCTTCTCGCCCAACATCACCGGTATCGAAATCGTCTGGCGACGGCCTAAGCGCGCCCGCCGCGCGAGACTCACCTACATGCGCAAGCCGAAGCACGACATGGGCAATGTCGATCACCTGGTCGCTGCCTGGCGGCGCACGAGGAATGTGTTTACGACGAAGGGCCGGGGCAAGGGGAAGAGTGCTAGCGCGGTGGGTGCGAAGCGGTAGGGTAGGTAGGTAGTTAAGGGGGAGGCTGTAGAAAGTACATAGATTTATGGCAGAGGATGAGATCAAGAGAAATGTAACAACTTACTTTTCACTCGATATTGGTCTTGAACTACTGGAAGGACAGAGCAAGAAAATACAAGGAATTGAGAGTTGTATTGGAATCTGCGTGTACAAAAATCCGTAGCTAGCTATTCGGTAGACGTGTAACATACAAATATCACATACCTATCATCGTTCAAAGTCTACGTTTTTAATATAACTACTTAAAAACCACTTAGGCACCTATACTTGGACCTTTCAAGTATCCCATAATTGAATATAATCAAGAGCATACCGCATTTATTGCGAATCATCTCACGATTTTCACGAATCACATTATTTTCTGATGTGATATTTATTTATTAAGAGACGACTGTATAATGAAATCATCTCATACATAAGTTCTGGTTTCTACACTAGGTTACATGTCTCGACCCAAATAAATATGTGAAGAGAACCCCGATTCCTTCTCATAGCAGACAGGGGGAAAAAAGAAATAAGACAGAAGATGCTTCCTCCCTAGGATATCATGGCTCCTACGAACCTTCTTGAGAGTTCATGTAATCCAAACGCCGTGTCTGAGACAAACGCCAACCGAGAGAAATCAATATTGCCTCCATCTAGTATCTAATAACGTTTCTATTCCAGGCCTGAGCCCCCGTCTCTAACGTCATCTGTGCAAATAGTTATTCTAGTCTCGTCTTCCCCGTTAGTTTTCGCATTCGGCCGATACTAGAAAAACAAGGCGGATATGTAAGTCATCCCGTACTCCCAAGGTACCAGTTTACTCTCGTGCCTCGCTGCCACCAAGGATTGTGGAATACCGGCAAGGTTCTAGCCTGCTCTATATCGGTATTGCGGATTGGTATCGGTTGCGAAGATGCTCGTACTGGTTCATCACCCACGGGCCCTTTTGGCACCGGGGACATTTCCCATCCCGCCGTACCTTTCCTCCACTAATGATCAAAGGTTGGCTGTGTATCGGCTCTCTTTCTACGTCTCGGAATCGGTTCGTGCGTATCACCGTTTTCGCCCTTCCCTGGGTCCGTGATATGCTTCCTCAATGTATCCATTGCGTCAAATCCAATCGAGCCATCCGATTTCCCTATTGAATGATGAGACGGGTAAGTCGGGCCGGGGTGTAAGAGACCTGTGAGAAGGTTTCTCCTATCTACGCTGCGGCTACGGCCTCGCTTCGGACTCGCAGGCCGGTGGTGAGAGTGCTGCCCATTGGACATTGCCGAATGACGACGTTGTAGAGTTAATTCAGCTTCCTCGGCCTCCTTACGGTTGAGGTGCTCGCTAGGTAGAAGAACGGCCCGGTCAAGTCCGTAGGGTAAACCACGATGGCGGCCACGAATCTGCATAGCGATAACGACGAGTTTGCCAAGGACAGTGAACTGAGAACACAATGAGGCGTTGATACCCGTGTATCCCAAGCTGAGCCCAACCGTGCCGTAAGCGCTCACAATCTCGAAGAGTACAGCAAACATGGAGAAATCTCCAGCCATAAGCTTTGGGCCTTCGGTAATAGTAAGAATAAAATAGCCGACGAATATGTACCACAAGTCGAAAGAGAGTTGGCGCCGTAAATGTGTTCCGACATATGATATCTTGCTCTGCTCAGTGTCGTCGGCATCATAACCTGTACTGTAAACTCCAAGAGACTTCTCCTCGTAAACGTTCGTCCTACGAATTGAGATAGCAACGGGGAAGACGGAAATATACATCATGATGAGGTATGACGTTTGGACGGCTGGGTGAAGAGCAGACAGATTTACACAGGAGAATCCCGCAGTTCTAGTAGCTGTGGCTTGGAACCATCCATCAAGGAAGCGGATATTTAGCGGCAGTCCGGCGACCGCTTCACCATGTAGCTAATTGCAATGTTAGTAACGGGCAACGCTGGAGGTCTGCTATTGGATACTTACATCGAGGATGATGAACAAAATCAAGTCCACCCCGTTAAGAGCGACCAAGATAAAGAATAGCCACCAAGTAGCATTTGACGGAAACAAGAGCGTGAAACACCGTCGCGGGTGGTCTAAGAGAAACCTCAACTCCTCCCAGAGACCAGACCCGCGGGGTACAAAGAGAGAAAATAGCCAGATCATGAAACGAAGCATGATAGGGAATCCAGTGTTTCCAAGTATAATCAAGAATGACATTACGAGGAGCGGGAAGATGGCTGTGTTAAATGAGTTCATGCTGTCCGGAGTAAGCGTCAAGCCGAGATCCATGAACGCAGAGTTTGCCGTGAAGAAGCCCCACCATACCCTGCTTTGGCCGGCCTCGTCAACAATCTTGCCATAGTAGTCGTTGTTATGGACTATCCACGGAACTAGAGTGATTATGCCGAAGATGGTGTAACCAAAGAAGTAGATTGTGAGGAAAAGGGCAAGCGTCTTTAGAGATCGATATTCGATGCCACCCAGCTCCTCTCTCTGCTCTTCGGAGAGCCCCAGGAAGGCAGAATTTCGACCTATTGTCGGCTGCCAACTCAGATATGGCATAGGATCCTCATCCTTACTCTGAGTTAGGACGGACTTAATACGATGTAGGGGGTTGATCCGAGTAGTCGACGCAGTAGTCTCAGTGTGATGTAGTTTTTCCCCATCTTTCCTAGGCATCCGGGGTTTCAAAACACCAACCGTATGAGCAGCCGCCTCAACATCCTCTGCTATCTCCTCATAAAAATCGTGCTCTTCTCTGTGTGGCTTTACCGGCTCTTCGATGGTAATTGTTGGTTGGCGATCTGGACGACTTGCGGGATGCAAGGGAGACGTTGGTCGGTGGGGACCTTCGACACTTGATTCTCTTCGTCTACGGCCCGAAAGACCGGGACCTTCGGGCCCTTCTTCGTCTACTTCTTCCGGTAGCGCACCTCTATCGGCATCACGCGGCCCTGGAATTCTGAGCGCACTCTTATCTATCTTGCGCTGCCTTTCCACGATGGCGATATGTTCCGCATCGGTCCGCTTAGGAGGTAGTGGGACTTCTTCGTCATCCGAATCATCACTCCTCTTGACCTGGTCTGAAAATTTAATTTGAGGTGTAGGAAGCCGCTGAAAGGATTGGTCCTGATCTCTAGGATCAGATTCGTCCCTAGTATGAAACCCATTCGCGAACGGCTCATGGTTTGTAGCTCCCTCGATAGTGTAGTTATCTAATACGATGCCATCGTTAGTCATTCGAGATGCGTTGGCGGTATTATGCATCACGGTGATGTTCCGGCCATTGACGCCCTTTTCTAGATCTACGGGAATTGTTTTTGCCTTCGACCGTGATGTGGCCATAGAAACTCGTCGCGTCCGGGCTTCTGTTGCAATATGCTGGAATCTCTTCTCGAACCAATAGAGACGCAAGAAGACAACACAGGAGTGAATGCTAATTGGATTAGACATCATACTGAGGAAGTAAATCACCAGCTGCTGAAAAGTATTGAGCAAGTTGGCATCAAGAGTATTCAGTCCTGCTTGGGTGTTTGCACCGCTAGCAAAGAAGAGAGCATCAATATATGCCAATTGACCTCGAGCAGATGCATAAATCAAGATGGATCCAATAATAGTCAATCCAATAATCCAGAAATCTAGAAAACATTAGCTCAATATTGTGTTACGTTATCAGACGAATAGGACTTACAATGGACCGTAATAAAGTTGAAGTGTGGATTCCTAGACAAGAAGGACGGGCGAAGCGCCTGGACAATATCCAAGAAACGCTGACGAGCTCTCCCCATGATGACTAGGTTTAAAGTGCTATACACCTAAAAGTGAGACTTGCCTTTCGATGCTTAAAGCAACGGGGAAAGCCGATGTTAGAAAGCCACCGGGTCGAAGACCTGGCCTGTGAGGTCGTTGATGAGATCGCGGATGCCAAACATAATGGTTTATTGCTGGTTCCGATACTATATAACGAGGTCAACTAACGTGATATGCGGAAGGCGTTGAGGAATTATGTGGGTCAGACATTGCGCGGTCGAGAAAGATGTCCATTGAAATAAAACAGCTTGGTGGAAGGTGAGATGAGACGTTAAAAGAGAGGGAGTTAGAACCTTAGGTGAAGTACCAAGTCTGAATAAGTAGGTGGTGACTTGCAACAGCTTGGTACAAACTTCTACACAAAGGGGGCTAAGACAACAGCAGAAAGGGAACAATAAAATAAAATATTCGGAATATTCGGTAGTGGACTGATGTGCATGATGCAAGGGTGGAAGCACGGCCAGACAAAATTGATTTTTAAAAGTTTGTAGGTGCTGACTGTGGTAACTTAAGGAGAATCATTCGACTTACTTGCTTTAGATCACCTGTCATAGTCTCGAGTGATTGGTAGTGCGCGAAGGGATATTTGAGAGGTCGTTCTAGATGAAGTCTTGTTTTAGGTGGTGGTTGTTCAATGTTGAAGTTGGAGATGGCGGAGAATCAAAGAAATCTTATTTCACCTTGGACCCGGGTACGTCCACTGGTATATCGAAAATCTAGTGTATGTAGAAGGTTAGTGACGGAGGAAAATAAATGAGGCGATACCTTCCGCTGAAGCAACGACTCGAATTGTTTAGGTAGGTACCTCTGTATGTAACTAAGTGGATCTAGTTAAGAAAGTCAAATCTTGATAACGCATCTTGGCACTCAGCCTGACTCTATTATGTACCTATGCCGCTTCCCGTGCTCCTACTTTACTTTTTTTTCTCACGTCTTAACTGTGAATATAAAAGGGGGCTTACATTACCTAGCTGACAATTCGTACTTTAGGGGTGAGGAAAAAAGTGCCAAGACCTACAACAGACAAGCTTCAAATTTTTTACCAAAGATTGCTTTTTCATCCCTAGACAGAAAAAATGACGGGATACCCTAGTTTTCTAGGTCCGAGATAGATGATGCACCCGTGGACATAACATGCATACATATGTACATGCACGTACTGTCTAATGTGAATGTATGTACCTAGTGTATATCTTCATAATGGACTAACCGCATGTTTTGAATCAAGCACAAATCACCATCTTCTACTCTATTCAGGTTAGCAGGGTTGGAACATACATAGTCTAACCGGCTAGTTAACGGAAACACATCTAGCGCAAAGATTAAATATGCAGGACAGCCGGGGTAGAGCAAGGTTGGCGCCGCCGGCAGTGGTGCTACGTGGTAGAAAAAAAGGCTAGAGTCTGGTGTCTAAGGTATAAGCTCTGTAATGCAAGTCCTGTTGTTGCTACCATGCCGCTTGTCAGCACCCGGCATCTGAATCATGTCAACCAATTCGTGGTCAATTGTTTGCAAAATAAGTTCCGGAAGGTTCTAGACTCACATCCCTCTATTAAGCACTGTAGAATCGCATACGTGGACCTTGGAGTATTATGTTACCTCCATCTGCGGAAATTGGAGATGTTCGAAAAGATCCGGAAGGTTTTACAGATTACGAGCGGTGCACTTAATCATATAGACCAGGGGGGCTATATTTGGCCGACAGCCACATTTCAACATGTGACTGCGTTACATATTTTGCGACTTTATGGTGCTTACCTCCTAGGTGATGATGTCACACCCGCCTACACTTTAACATGTATGTACTCAGGTACTGTACCTAAGGTACAAAAATACCTATAAATGGATATGTAACCCTTTGTGATATTTACATGCATATCAAAAAGTTTATGGCATTATTCATGATAAAAAAGCAATAACATCAATAGCCTCGTAGATGCCACCATACCATCATACCTACCTACCTAAGAGGGTAGGTGGCGCGGATGAAGTTGGTATTTCGGCTAACCCGTACATCGACAACTCTGATAGGTATTGCAAGGAAAATACTGTAAATGTAACTCGAGTTAAGCCTCCCCTTATCCCTCAGCAAAATGCGACCCCAATCAAATCCCGTGAAAGTCAGCCCATGTCGTGCAGTGTCTTGAGCAAATTTTAAATAACTCCCGGTGCCACGCAATGTGCGTGTGCTAGGTTGCATTTCATACGTAGCACTGCAGCCATGATCGTGGGATGGATGCATCTGTCCATTGCGCTGGGATCACTAAGCCACACCCGGATAAAGTACCTCCGTATTAAACCGTATCGTCTATGGCGATACGCCTGTAGCATGAGTACCACCTGTCATCCAGCGGTGAAAACCATACTTGGGGTAGATTCATATCCCACGCAGTCTCCAAAATATACTGGCGCCACTCCTTTTCTACGCTCCGATAGTATACACAGTAGATTCACGCATCCTAGCGCTGAGTTTTGAGCCTTTCCTTTTCCCTCGCCATCTTCTTGAAGAAGGCGTGACTCTTGGCTGGCTTCTTCTTGAGCGCCTTATTCGCGCCCTTTCTCTGTTCGATGTAGGCCATGTCCTTTCCACCGCTAAGATCATCAAGCCCACCAGCTGTACGTCTAACTCGACCTCTCTTTCTCGAACCTGCTATATTAAACATATCATCCGTGGTATCATCCCTGTCTCTATCATCCGGCTTCTCTGTGTCGGTTACAATCTTCGCGAGAAGCTCACGACGCTCCTGAGGCGTACCGAACACGAGCCCTTCCATCTTCTCCATTCCGGTAAGAGACGTAATGACCTTAAAGGAATATCCTTGATCTACAAGGAAAGCCTGTCTCTTGGTCGAGTAGTACATCTCGGGTGTATCCCTCGAGACTAGCGAGTAAAAAAACGCATTAAATCCCTCGTCTGATCTCCGCTTTGCTCGGAGGATCCGGCCTAGTCGCTGTGCTTCCTGACGACGAGAACCGTAATGCGAGGATATCTGGATTAAACACGTAGCCTCTGGAAGGTCGAGAGATGTATCACCAATCTTCGACAGGAAGATAGTTTTGACGAGGGGGTTATGCATGAAATTCTCCAGCACTACCGTCCGCTCATTATTCGATGTAGACCCACAAATGTAAGCTTTTCCGAGGGCTAAGGCGATCTGTTTGAGGGCGTATACGTTGTCCGAAAAGACGATAATCTTGTCGCCCCGCCTCTCGTGATAGTCAATGAGGAACTGGCAAGCCTGGATCTTTCGTGGGTTCATGACATATAAGTTTTGTTGGAGACTTCGATTTTTCTTCTGTCTGTTGAACTCGTCGAAGAATTCTGCCGTCATCGGGCACCAGACTTCAGCACATTGGACTTTGGCTATGTGGCCTTGCTCCGACAGCTCCATCCAATTCGCCTCGTACAGCTTCGGCCCAATAAGGAAGTTCAAATCTGAAATCTTATCGTCCTCTCGAAGTAGCGTAGCAGTTAATCCGAGCTTTGCGTGGCTCTTGATCGAGTGTGAGACCTTCCGGAAGATATTGGCGGGCACAACGTGAACCTCGTCGAGCAACATCAGACCCCATTCCCGACCAGTTAGGAAATCCATCATCTTCTGTGAATCGTGAGCCCGCTTCTTCCCCGAGTTTGTCACCATGGGATATGTTGTAACGATAATACCAGTATTGCCGGGGAACCTGTGTTTATGATCCGAAGTGAATAAGGCAATATCATCGGGTCTGATATTGGACCATTTTAAGAATTCGTTCCGCCATTGATTAGCCGACATCGTGCTCGTGCAAAGGACGATGCAGCCCTTCTTAATCGTACAGGCAGCAGTGATTCCGACCAACGTCTTACCTGCGCCACAAGGCAGGACGATAATACCACTTTTTGCTCGGCCGTTACCAAACATCTTGCTAAGGCTCTTCTCCTGATAACTCCGAATTTGTGTAGCTGGTCGTAAATCGATCTCGAGATTCGCATTTCGATCGTCGTTGCGGAAATCATACTCCTCCAACATAGGGTATTGAATCTCCAAGGCACGCTTCTGGACGACTTCGATAGAAGTGTCATAGATCTCGAAGGCATGCACGGCCTCCTGATTATCGTCATCATCGTCTTCCCTTAGAGCATCGTAAGGATCTTGAGCTTGCGCCCCCTCGGTTGTCTCTGGTTGTGCCTTTTCATCCTTTTTAAGTTGTGCTTGTTGTACTCCTGCAGCATTGGAGGTTCCGGGGATCACCAGGCCACCCATAGAAGGTGCGCTAATAACAGTTTCCGTCCCCTTAACGCGACAAGGTCCGATAACCTCGTCCTTTAACAGTTTCTGTAGTACTTCCGGGTCTGTGCTTTCCACGAAATATTTCGTATCCTTAATGACTAGCTTCACTTTACCATAACTTGAAGCACAACTACTAATAAATTTCGTTATTGATTCTGGGACGGGGGTCTTTGAAAACCGTTCTAGGGTGTTGATGATGTCTCGGGGTTGTAGTCCAACTGATACAGCAGCGTATAGACTGTGACTAGTAAGAGCATACTCGTGGATGAAGGTCGGGCGCGATAAAGGCTCGGCAACGGTGATGAGGAAGTCTTTTGCTTGATCGGCCAAGGGGCTGAAGTTTTCCAGGATGATCCGTCCTCGCTGGGGATCGATCCATATAGGACGACTCTTAAAATCGGGCTTTAGAGGCAAATATGAGAAATCCCGCTTTCCCCCTCTAAAAAATCGACTCGAAGTCCAATCTTCTTCGTGCACCGTGGTGCCTTGAAACGTGGCAAGGGAAAACCGATCTACGACCTTTTGTAGCTGCTCCTCATTCTCGACCGGCTCCTCTGGAGAATCTGAATCATCGTCGCTATCGATGGATCGAGGCGTCGAAGGACCGGGTGTCGAAGTAGTAGAGGCCCTTCCCGATTTAGCGGGGCCTGTAACGTCTTAAAAAGTTCAGCATGATGGATTCATGTAGCAAGCGAGGATAGTTGGACATACTTCCTGAAGCTTTTCTCTTCGCTGGCATCTTGACAGCAAATCTGAACTTGAAAGGTGAGGAACAGTCAAAGAAAGATCACTAAGGCAGGCGCGGAGAGGCAATGTAAAGGTAGGTAGGTACATATGTAACCTAATGCACTTAACCTCAATCTTACGTAAACAAATATGTACACTATTATGTACCTAACCTATGGTCAGTATTTTGAGCCAGTCGGAGAATTTCCAGTATATGCCTGTAGGTAATCCTAGTAAAAATAGATGTACGATGTGGAGACATGCAGTAACTAATGGATTAAATACCCACCGGCGCCACCGCCTTCCACCATTCTTAGACCGCCCTCATTATTCAACTTTCTGCCGGTAAAAACTTTTGAATTGGCAAACTGGCTGACTGGCAGAGAAGCTGCCCCATTAAAAGTTATGACCTTCAAAATCTCGAATACTGCAAGCGTTTAAGTTAGATATCAATCTATGATACTACGCATGGGATCTTAGTAAACTTTGATTTATTCATCGCAACACAGCTGTTCGAATGTTCGATAAGCATATATGCGTCTAAACACATAGCTGGTTCTTTAAAACCCTGATACTACACTTCGAGAATGGCGACTCATACTGCTATGGCCCAAGGCAGCGATGCCTCAATGCGAAGCTCCTTAGAGCAACGTCTTGGAATCCTTCATTATGTGTCGGAGAAGGAGCATGGATGGTATGGCCAAGTCCGTACAAGGTAAGGGACATAGATTGATCTGAATCGTCGTTATAACGTCGGTTCGCTTATTCGGTTCAGTTCTAATAAAAATTTTAGATTCACCGATTTCCAAGTCCATGAGATCAGTAAGAATGGTGAAGTGATCCATCTGCATGACTTCCAGACAAATGCAAGGGAATTAGCAAAACCTGTGAGTCGGTTTTACCCTGCATCGTAACCCTTAACTAAAGCATATAACTCCAATAGACTCCTGATCAACCAACAGCAAAGCCTCAAGTTGCCAAGCCATTACATTCTGAAGAGGGCAAAACCCTCACAACTGATACCGTTGATACCGTTGCCGCGAACGATACGGCATCTCAGCCATCAGCCAGTTCGGAGCAGCCAAAGGATGGAGGAAGTTCCACCACTATATCCGTATCCGATCAGACAGTTCTCATAGATCTCCTCGGTCAAAGCACTGCAGAAGGTTTAATTGACTTGTACAGCAAGGCAAATGAAAGCACGAAAGCACAACCTAAAGTCTCCAAATTTGTGACGATCGCAGCAATAACTGATAAAGCCCAAAGATCCCGAGTTCATTTAGTAAGTCCACTAGATATTTCTAATCGAGTAAAACTGACTCTAATCAGGAAATTCGTCGCATATTTGGCGGCAAACTTGACACTGCCACGGATTCGGATGGCTCTATTAAGGCAACAGTTGTCACCAGAGGTAACCAGCAGTGGGGCAGCCGCTCAAGGAATGATAGGTCTAGAAATGAGAGATCCAGAAACACCGGCCAGAATGGCGGCCAGGATCAAGATGGCAAGTTCTTGCATTTCACTCTCTACAAGGAGAACCGAGATACGATGGACGCGATTGGTCAAATAGCCCGTTGTCTAAATCTCAAGCCCGCCTTCTTCGGTATCGCTGGCACCAAAGACCGCCGTGCTGTGACTACCCAGCGAGTCAGTATGCGGAGACGAAATCCTCAGTCACTAGTTTCTCTTAACAACGACAAGATATATGGCGTGAAACTCGGAGATTTCAAGATCGAGCATCATTCCATCCACCTAGGACACCATAGCGGGAATGAGTTTGTGATTGTTCTCAAAAACTGCTACTTTAGTGGGACGCAAGACCTGACGTTTGAGCAAAAACTCGAGGTTGCAGATACTACCATAAAGACAGCATTAGAGCAGGTCACTCGGAATGGTTTTATTAACTACTATGGCACTCAGCGATTTGGTACACATCAAATTGGAACTCAGGAAATCGGCATGAAGATTCTCAACCGTGATTTCGAAGGCGCTGTACAAGCTCTACTCTCTTTCGACCCTGCTTTATTAGACATCTCTGACCCTAGCTCCGTCGAATCGATGCGTCGCGAGGATACGTATCGTGCACGGGCTTGTTCAATATTTTCAGAGACCGGCAAGTCACAGGATGCGCTTAAGTGTTTACCCAGAAGATGTCATGTCGAGTCTGCATTGATGCGTCAGCTCGATAAACAGCCTAGGGATTTTCTCGGGGCGCTCCTTTCAATTAGTCGTGGGATGCGTACGATGTATGTTCATGCATACCAGTCTCTAGTATGGAATTTTGCCGCAAGCAGACGCTGGGAGCAGTTCGGTCTGCAAGTAGTCAAAGGAGACTTAGTCCTTATTGGTTCCGAAGCTTCTACCTCATCAGAAGACCGCCAGAACGGAAACAGTGAAGAGGATATGATCCATCTCATGGACGGAGGATCTTTTGCCGATGATGCACGCGGGTTGAAAGCACATGCACTAACAGAGGAAGAAGCTAGTAGTGGGAAGTATTCCATCTTTGACGTCGTATTGCCGTCTCCGGGTTGGGACGTCGTATACCCGGATAATGAAATTGGACAGTTCTATAGAGACTTCATGGCTAAGGAGGAGAATGGCGGGCTAGACCCCCAAAATATGCTCCGGCAGCAGAAAGATTTTAGCCTCCCTGGATCTTACCGCAAGCTCATGGGCAAGTTCATTGGCACACCAGACGCCTCTGTCCGAACCTACTTGAAGGATACGGAACAACTAGTACCGACTGATTTAGATCTAATACGAAGTCGCAAAGCTAAAGAAGCAGCGGATCGCACAGCCGCTCAGCGAGAGGCACAAGGAACACCCTCGACATGGCAAAACTTTACCGATAACGTACGAGATAGTGATCTCCAAGAGGCTCGAGCCAGGTCCGAGAGACGAAAAGCCGAAGAGTCTACCGACATGCCAGAGACTCGGACAAGAGATACCTGGGTGCAGACTTCAGTCAACGGAAGTAACAAGCGAGTCAAAGTTTCTGAGCAAACAGATGATATCAAAGCAGGGAACGAGAACGGTATCTCGCAAGCTTATGAAGATAAGATGCAAGTAGACGCAGATAAGGCTAATCAGCCAAATACAATCGAAGGGGTGCAGTTGACAGGCCAAGATGACAGAAATTCTGGCCACTTGCTTGTCGCCACCCTTACATCACAGGTGCGAGCCGTTGCAAAGAGCGCCATTCAACTACTTATGGCAGCGTTGAGAGTGTTTACTGACAACAGCATCATGAAGTCTTCCGAGAATACAGCTACGTCCGAGATTCAACCCGACGGGCAGACGTCGAAGCCCGCCGTCGATCTGCCTAGCAGCACTAGTCGCCAGAACGAAGCAATAAAGCCACCGGGTGATAGCGTAGCCGAAACATCTCGTCATACCGAACCCTTAGGTGACATCCACGATGGCGAACACGAGGCGAACGAGTCGGACCAGTTAACCAATGCTACTACTACTGATGAGAAGAAAATCGCAGTGATCCTTCGATTTGCACTAAACACTAGCCAGTACGCAACCATGGTTCTTCGAGAACTTCAAGGGGCGATCCCCGTAAGCGACGACACGGCTATTCTAGATTCTCTATCGACCTATAACGAGGGGATCTAACGCTAGCATTTCACTGTTACGAACCTAGCCCATTTTGCGCCACCCTCTCCATTTTACCTAGAACTCCTTCGATTTTTCTACACCCGCAGGTCATTTCCTAGCTAAAACACACGAGATTAATTGGCAGAGTGTGAGGACCTAGAGGCATTCATAACTTCATCGTGTTTTGATGTTCCTCTGTCGGTAAGGACCCAAACTTTTATGAGTCATACTAACTCAACAACGGGAATGCAAGATGTATAAGCGCATGGCCCTACAATGTTGACATTATGTTCTGCTAAAGAGATGAAACGCTAAGTTGCTGATATGGCTTTGGTGTAATGAGAAGTGGGCATAGGGCCCATATCATTCTGGCATTCTATGGAAGTTAGCTAAGATACCCAATTACTACGAAACAAATCAAATGCACTATATGCCTAGCATATAGTATCACGAGCTATCCTTGTCCTCCAATTCCCCGTAGAACATACTCACATGCCTATTCTATCCAGGTACCTAAATTTTCAGATCGGAATTCTATAGTGAAGCATGAGCTACATATGTAACATGGAGAGTAAGTCCTTTCTCATCTCTGTCCCGTTGACTATGTACCTACATATATCTCTAGGGTATATGGTCTTTGTGAGGACCTACGTGTAAGGTACATCTATATGTACGTAGTGTAATAAGCACCTAAGGCAAGTGCAGAGTGCTACGTGTAGAGAGCTGAGGCTTCTTTGTTTCACAAGATCCATAATATCATCATGTCCTCGAATAGCGACTTCCCTTTGTTAGGTAGAGGAGTGAGGCGTGTCTTCTTGTTCGCAAGCCTCTCCCTGGTATATCGATTCGACCACCTATATCAAGTACACCTACTTTAAAGCATTGCTAATCAAACCTCATTAATCCGTGTATAACCTCATTAATCCGTATATAATTTCTGCCCGTAAGGCCGTCTCAAGGACACTGTATACGAGATATCGCTACCGAAAATTGGACTAAGAGCTTCTAAGCCGCAACTGGGATGCTACGAGACGAGCAAACTATATACTAGCCTATTAACTATACCTCATAATGAGCATGCTCGAACGAATCGCGCAGTACAACCAGAGTACCCGGTCTCGAGTAGACGTACCAAGGGTGTATCTGAAGCCAAAATCTGCTGGAATTAGCGATGATGGACAAGACTACTTCCTCTTCAGTAGACAACAGGATATTACGAACAAGGTAATGCGATGCAGAAAAAAATAACATATGTGGCTTGTTGATAGTATTGCTCACGATGTACAGGTCCCAAGCCGAAATGTTAAGCACTTTAGTTTAGACGGAGCTAGCAGCTTGCCGTTTAGCAGGAGACCGCCGCCTTTGAGAGGTATTGTAGCTCAATTAACTACTATTTAATTATAGTTGCCGACTAACAATGGGTGTACTTAGCCCAGTCTGCGTTCTCACTGGCGTCCGGCGAACCCGCTGAGCTAAACTGGAATCCAGCGGCCCTACTAGAGCTGTCGGACTCCGTCAGGGTAAACTTGAAGCACTATAGAAGCGTGGGACCTGGAACCGAGAAACTAAACAGTTTCCTAGAGGCTGCGCTTAGAGACGAGGAGCAGCAATGGGGGGATCCAGCACTCGATATCGAGACTATTGAGCACGCTCGGCTCGACAAGCTGCTGGCTGAGCTTCTACAGTTCGCCGAGAAGATGAGAGGCGCTTCTAGCCCGTTATTGGGAACAGGTGCGGCAACTGGCAGCTTCTCGCTGCAATTCCGCGTCATTATATCGCATGCTAAGAACCTATGGCGCGCGTGGAGGCGCAGATTCCGCGAGCAGTACTTCATGATGGATCAATATCGCTGTGCGGCGCTGGTCAAGGGCGGCCGGCTCAAGGATGTTTCGTTCAACACCTCCCTATCCTACGACCTGGGTAAGTGGCAGACGAAAGTGAGCGACCCAATCTCTGAGCTTGAGGGGAACCTACGATTCGATCCTGGACAGTAAGTTCTCGAAGTTCGTTCTTTTGTGGTTCGATTGGCTTGTTTCTGACATCATATGTGCCGTCAAGCTGGTGGCTGAACATTACATGTGCTGAGAGAGATGGCATGGTGGCTAGTTCGTTGGAGGTACCGACGAAAGGAAGGTATTGTATCACTACTCTACCTCTACTTACCGGACAGGAAGAGTGGCTACGGGGTGATACTTATAAATATGTCCGCGAAGGAAGGTCTACGGACATGCATATCGCTCTGATATCCCAAGTCGGCCGACAGATCCGCGTTCTTCGAGGCTACAGACTAAAGAGTATTCTAGCGCCGCAGGCCGGCGTCCGTTATGATGGACTGTGAGTCATGACAGAACCTTTTGCTACTCATTTTCATGTAGTTGGCAGTTGACAGAATACTTACTCATCTATCGAAAAGTTTCACTGTCAAACAGTACGGGTGCAAGCTCGACAGCAATACAAATGTTTACCGCCTAGAACTAACACTTGAGCACGTGCCGAACCAAAAGGTGTCCCTGGAGGACATCGAAAGCATACCGCGACCCTCCCAGCTAGACGACTGGAACTTATACGAGAAGCTCGAAGGCGACAAGATCAAGCTCCTGCAGGGGGAGACAAGCTATCTGGAGTGGAAGCTTAGACGCCAGGAAGAAAAGATCGACAGAGATGACTGGAGAAGGGCGCGTCTATTTAGAGCGTCTGTCTCGCGTTGGGGGTCTGGAGCTGATTCTCAAGAATAGGGGTAAGGTCCGATGGTGGGTAGCTATAATGCCGCACGAAGCCTATATAAGTCCTCTCTATGTCGCCTACTGTCGTATTATTAAGAATCAATCCTTAGCAAATTGTAGCGTATAGCTTATAACCCTAGTATAATACCCCGGATTAAGTTCTATGACCTACCTATCGTGTAAGTGGTAGGAAAGGGATGAGCTTAGTGGGTCTAATATTTGACAGCCGCCAACCAGCTGAACATGATCCGGCTAATAGCCCCTCATATTCCATACCTAAGGTTAGGTAGGTTAGGTGCTATTACTATTACCTGCACGTCAGTTCGATCAGATCAACGTGGGGCTCTCACATCAACTTTGTAGCTCATCCAACCACTATTAACACCAACATTATTCAAAATGGGTGCGAAGAAGAAGGCCGATAACAAGTCGAATAATAAGGACTCTGGCGACAATGATGACAAAAAGGGTGGTAAAGTGAAAGGCGCACAGTCCGTTGTGGTTCGCCATATCCTAGTAAGTTAGGGTTCGACCTCCTCATCCTGAAGTATACGAATTGACACACAACTCGTAGTGCGAAAAACACTCCAAGAAGGAAGAAGCGTTGGCTAAGATCAGGGAGGATCCCACTCTGAGTAATTTCATCGCAGTGGCTAGAGAGTATAGCGAGGATAAAGCTAAACAAGGTACGTTCTATCTACGGAGTCGGAATCTATCACTTTACTTCTTGATACTTGAGTACCTAGTATCTAGTCTCTACCTCCTATATAAGTAAAAAACTAACCTGGAAATCTTAGGCGGTCTCCTTGGTACACAACGGAAAGGATCACTACAACCTGAATTTGAAGATGTTGCTTTCGCGCTACCAGAGAGTAAGGGCAGTAATCTCAACATCGGAGAGGCGAAGACGGCGTTCGGATACCACCTGATTGTAGTAGAAGAGCGCAAATGAGCTCATAATCACCATAATAACAAAAGACTTCACGGGTGAAAAAGAAGCTTTGCAGCCAAGATTGGTAATGCAAGTTTTCCTTGATTCCTGATGCAGTATAGACCCCTTAATTTTTTCCCAGCATCTATGCCAGATGGTCAAGCCGGTAGAGTACATGCCAAGGGCTCATGACGATGGCTTGAAAATCATCCCGTTCCACTGTCTATATCCCCGCGCAACGCCCGTGATGAATTCCTTACTGCTCGGTCTGGAAGTAGTTCAGGAGGATGGATCGCTCAGTCGACTCCTCACCCCAGTCCTTGACAACCACGCAAGAGCAGTTTACTACCTTGCGCGCGTTGCCTTCTCGGTCCAAAACGCCTACAAAATATTGTGGTTAGTTCCGAATCGTATAACCCCATAGGTTCATGTAACTTACAGAGACCTGACCACTCGCCCAGTTGCTTTCCGTCGGGAACCTTGATCAGGGGAATCTTGTGTTCGGAGCAGAGAGCGATGACCAACTTCTTGTAGGCCTCTTCTTCGCAGGATTCGTTTAGAACACACATGTGGGCTTGTCGTCGGTCCAGAGCCTTGGATGCTTCACGGAGACCCCGGGCAAGACCGTCGTGCATAAGGGCGAGCTTCAAGACACCCTTGAGGGCGTCCAGAACGGACATCTGGCCCTTGGAGGCATCGGCGGAAACTTCAACCTCCTCGGGGACTTCGGGTGCGTTGTTCTCTTCTACGTCCGACTAAAGTTGAAGAATAATTGTTAGCAAATTGCTTGCGCGCACACAATAGCAACCTGAGCACACAAGATACAAGGCCGTCGCATTTGAATATCCTTGTCCCTTCGTGCAGGAACGCAATAATAATATAGATAATAAAACATACCATCTTGAATTTTGTGACACCGGTGCGATCCTCGAAGAGTGGTTTTGCTGTGTCGAGTTGTGAAGGTGAATTTGGTGGGTGGGTTGAGTCGTGCGAAAATCTAGAATTGTTCCAAATCGCCGAATGGAAATAGAGTGTATCAATCGAGGCTTGGACGTTAGGGAAGGTGCAGTGGGGAAGGCTAGTTGTGTATCGCTTAGGGTTAGTTGGCCGAAATTTACCCCATTGGGTGGAGATTCCCAATTCAACCCGCCCACCACAATTTTCGCACCGCAAAAAAAGAGAAATCAATCTAACTGACCGCCAACCATCCCTCTAACTTTTTTTCTTACCTCCACTCTGTTCACCTCAACCAAACTTCTGCACGACAAGCACAAACCAGAGTGTCAAGCAATCCCCCTTCGCTCACGACCTCTATAGAGGTATGTTATAATAAAGTCGCCATGCCTTAAATTAAGGCACACTCCATCCCCCAATGCGCCCTTCAAGAAGCCGGGGGAGAGCAATCAGAGACCTTGCCGCCGGTCTTCGCGTCGCGATGGACGAGTCGGGTTTCTGATACGCTTCTCCTCTCCAGTACTGAGCGGGCAGAACCCTCCCCAACGTGGCACATTGGGGGAGGGCACTCTCCATGCTCTTGGCTTTTGAAGGCTAACCAAACACCATTACCAACAGATACCTCACATCCTTTTCGAACGGTCTGAGAATCTCGCAACACCGCCAAAATGGTCAAGACTTCCGTCCTCAACGATGCGCTTAACGCCATCAACAACGCCGAGAAGACCGGCAAGCGTCAGGTCCTCATCCGACCCAGCTCCAAGGTCATCGTCAAGTTCTTGACCGTCATGCAGCGCCACGGTAGGTCATATCTTCTTCGTCTTCCGCACGAACTAGCCCTCCGACATCCCTCATGTATAAAGCATTCGGCATGATAACTGGATAACGGTCTCAAAACGCCCTACGACCGAAGTCTTTTAAGTTGCCGATAGATCGAAGTTTTTTTTCTGGCGAACGAATCTTACACGTTTCTCTGATATATTCAAAATGAAGTCTTACGTTTAGTCTTTCGCTACATTCAGCTAACGCTTTTTTCCTTGTTAGGCTACGTCGGCGAGTTCGAGGAGGTCGATGACCACCGATCCGGCAAGATCGTCGTGCAGTTGAACGGCCGCATCAACAAGTGCGGTGTCATCTCTCCCCGATACAACGTCCACCTTTCCCAGCTCGAGAAGTGGGTTGTCAAGCTGCTACCCTCCCGTCAGTTCGGCTACATCATCCTTACCACCTCTGCCGGTATCATGGACCACGAGGAGGCCCGAAGGAAGCACGTTGCTGGCAAGATTATCGGCTTCTTCTACTAGGCGGATGACAAAAGAAAAAGGAAAAGGAACAAGGGATATGAACTGACTAAAGAGCATTTTCGGCGTTTGGGAGGAATGGATAATGGCTAAGCTATGATGCTTGATGTTTTTCAGCCAAATACACCACGATACCACGAAATGCTACACAAGTCCAGTTCTTGCATGCGTCTAGCCCCCTGTGTTCCCCTGTATGTTGCCAAGCCACGGAGTGCCATGTGAAAGTGCCGGTTGTACTGTGTACCTCTTAGTACCTTGTACCTACATAGCAGGACATTGAATGTTCAATTCAAGGGCTTACCTATGTAACATTGGTACCTTCGCTAACTAACTGAAAATAAAGCTTGATCCTTCCGTACAACGGTGACGGGTAATTGAGTTTATTTGGTATAAAGTTCTGTCATCCATTGACAAGTGTAATTGTAATCCTCCGAATTTTGTGACCAGATTTCGTGCTATTTTCACACGTTTACACAAGTTTAAATATTTACATGCTTATACCCCTGACTGCGGCCCGCAAAGTTCGAAATAATTTGTACATGATTCATGGATAATATAATATGGCTAGGTCGGGTCAGAGACGCGTCACAGTGCGTCCTCCCGCACGTCTATTGATTAAATGGAAGTATTTAATTGGATCAAGCAAACAAATACCGGGGCACTACGTACAGAGGTAGCAACTAAAAAACAGGAATGGAAAGGGCTCCTGAAGCTCATCGGGTCCATTTCTTTCAGAGGTTTATATCTCCATATTTCCTTCTATTCTAAATAGTATCCCTCTTCTCCACGATAGGTACATGTACCAATGTCATTCTTTACATCATTATTTCCTGCTGCGCCAACAAGTCTCAGCCGACGCCATCGAGCCTTCTAAACTGCGGGTGAGATTAGGGCGTGAAGAGAAATGCGGCCGCGCCAACTGATCCTAACCGGCGGGCTCGTCTTCCTCGGTATTTGCGTCATCACACTCTTCCGGTTGACGCCTTCCGGCACCAACCTTTCAGACCTTAAACCCGGCCCTCTATCGTATACATACGGCGCTGGGAAAGATGGCTCGAGTAATGCACCACAACCGCTGGCCGCCCCGGTCCCCTTCGATCCTAAGCCGAAGCCCGCTCCCGCTGGAGAACATCCTATGTATTACTTGATCACGCAAGCGGAAAAAGACCTCGAAGCCACCAAGTCACGCCAATCCAAGACAATCAAGGATGCTGTTGCAGAGTACCGCAGGCGGTACGGGATCCCGCCGCCGCCCAACTTCGACAAATGGTTCGAGTTCGCGAAGGCCAAGAACGTCCAGCTCATCGATGAATTCGACATGATCCACGAGTCGCTGACGCCCTTCTGGGGACTAAAGCCCTTCACGATACGCGCACGCGCCAGGGAGGCGCTAGGTTTCGATAACGCGTTGCTAGGTGTCCAGATCCGAAACGGTAAAATTACGCATATCCAGGGTGGGAGCGAGTGGCAGCGCGAGGCCACTGCGGGCATGATGGGGAAATTCCTAAAGTGGTTACCCGATATGGACCTGTGCTTTAACCTGCACGACGAATCGAGAGTCGTAGTACCGCATGATGACCTAGCTAGATTGGTTAAGAGGGCTAAGGATATTAATATGCCCGCGGCCAATTCCCATTCCCGCCCGAGAAACGAGTTTACGCCGATGGGCAAGGGGCTGAATGACGGATCTAAATTTGAGGAGAGCAAACTAACGCGGTTCAACATCTTTGCTCATCAGCCAACTTGGACTCACTCGAGGCTATCGTGTCCTCCGGAAAGCCCTTCTAGAGGGTTGGAGGAAGAAGAGAGAAAAGATGATATCTCGAAGTACGGCTTGGGAGAGCTAGGCTTCATCTACAATATCACAGCCATGTCCGATATCTGCTATTCCCCGTCGCTAGGCTCGACGTTCGGCTTCTTCGACCGACCGAATGCATACAACATCGTCCTCGATCTGTTCCCGATATTCTCGCAGTCCAAGATCTCGTCCTACTCTGATATATTGTACCCGTCGCCGTGGTACTGGTTTGAGAAGGTAACGTATGACGAGGCAAAGGACGTTCCGTGGACCGAGAAGCAAGATAAGTTCTACTGGCGCGGCTCTACGACCGGCGGTTTCAGTAGGAATGGCGGGTGGCGACGACAGCACCGACAGCGGTTCGTGAAGAAGATGAACGCGGCCGATAACGCTAAGATCCTCGAGGAGAATAATGGCAAATGGGGGGTCCAGGAGGTACCGCGGGGCGATTACAAGGACATCATCGACGTATACTTCTCGGGAGTGGGGCAGTGCGACCCCGGCGACTGTGATGCGCAGAAGGAATTCTTCACGATCAAGGGGCATGCGGAGCAACAGGACGCGTGGAAGTACAAGTATCTGCTGGACATCGACGGGAACGCTTTCAGCGGGCGATTCTATGCGTTCCTAAAGAGCAAGAGCTTGGTGTACAAATGGGCCATCTTCCGCGAGTGGCACCTCGAGTGGTTGAAGCCGTGGGCGCATTACATCCCCCTCAGTATACAGGGTGAGGAGTGGCTCGAGGCTGTCCGGTTCTTCGGTCACGGCGATCTGGGGACGAAGGAGGCCGAGCGCCTCGCGAACCAGCAGCGCGATTGGGCGAATAAGGTCCTAAGACACGAGGACATGGAGGTGTGGTTCTTTAGGTTGCTGCTAGAGTATGTCCCGGCGGCTCGATTTGATTGTTGTTTTGGATGGATCAGAGTGCTAACGCAGACGCAGATACGGCCGAGTCGCAGACGACGAGCGCGAGAACATCGGATACTCGGTAGGAGCACCCGCGGGTAGGGCGTCAAGAGAGGCCCCCCCTAGCCCATGACGGAAAGATAAAGCGGACACGTTAATATGAGGGTCGGAAACGGATAGGATAGGATATGCTACATAGGCATAAGTAGATCTGGCAGGTCGGCGTACGGATTGTATAAAACAGCTGCATGGTCGGAGTTTTTTTCACTTTTCACTTTGTCTTTCCCAGTGCACATACATGCACATAGACATGCGGACGACCGGACGGACGGACGATGGTACTATATACATACATATATATATGTATATACGGGAAGAGGACCGGACAGTCTGGCGGACAGCCCCGTTTCCCGCGGTTCGATATACAGCGGGAGGAGAATTTTTGGATCCAGAGCGGAGTATATCTCGGACAGCGTCTGGATGTTTATTCGGGGTTTCGTCGGGCAGACGAGCAAGTAGATCGTGTAGATGGGCGGACTGGACTGGCCCGGACTACATATGCCTTATGTATCTACCTATCTGGGTAGGGTATCTAGGCAGCTACCTAGGTACCTATATACCCAAGCAGATTGGGGGTTCGCTAGGTAAAAAGTACTGCGCCTCGCGGGGTGGAAATCTAATGCTTAATCCTGACTAGTTAGGTTAAGTTGGATGCGAGATGACATTATATGCTTTACATGTAGGTATATAGGTCTTAAGCGAAGATTTAATCAGATGCTGGTTGTTTCGTGTTAGTGCTGATGGTAAAATCGCATACGCGGAGTCGGTTGTGTCTTGTGTCTTGTGTCTTGTAAGTTGTGGAAGGGCTCGAGCACCTATGTACCTATGTAGGTAGACATAAGGTTGTATTAAGCTGCTGCCTATTGTGGAAAGGACTAGGACTAGGGAATAGGGAATAGGACGTTTTATACGTCGTATTAGTACGAAGTTTTGAATTGTTATTTAGTTTTTCTCGAAAGTCTTACTACATAGACTTTGTAGACGTATGTTGAAAGTCGAACGTAGTTGAGTATACGGTATAGCATCTCAGACAGTCAGATCTATCACGACGAGTAAATGATAGTCGACTTATAGGCGATTATTTGGTTGGAAATTAAGGTAGATTTACTCCCCGATGATACGGCTACGCGCTATTATTCGTATAGGCGGAATAAGCGCTTCGCTTCCTTATCATGGGGTAATACGAGCTTCCCAGCCTCCCTCCTGTTCGTAAGTTAAGAGGGCACTTAGTTATATCCAGACTAGTCTTTCTAATGGGCAGTTATGAATCTATTTACGGTTACGCAGGTCGCTGGATGGTACTATGTTATTATGTATTAAAGGTAAATAGCTTTTTACGCTTGATTAACCCCTTATTTCGGCTCACTCGCTAATAACTAGACCTGCGGCGTCCTCACTTAGGTTCATACCTAGGTACTAAGGCTTCGGCGTTAGGATAGGTGGTATATTTCTGCAAACTATTTACTTCTCCTTGCCAGCGAGTTCCACAAGTCAGGTCAGGTTAAATAATTGTATATATCTAGCTCGATACAAGTCAAGTTAAAAATAATAGATTTAAAGGCTTACCTCGCCGTATCGTTAACTTGGCCTATATACTCTTATAAAGCTACACTTACCCATATCAGCCACCTAATATATTTCACCCAAAACCTTTACCAATAACCAATAATATTACCCTAAAAATATTCGTATAAAATACCAAATAGAAAATTTAACGTTCAACTTAAATAAATATCCCTAAAAAAGATCTATCCAGGCTAAGTCAGGCCAGGCCTAAATTAGGTCAAGTTATTATCTAACTCGTAGAACTTGCTGCTCTTTGCTGTTACACCCCGTACTACGGATTATAGCTCAACACCTCTAGGTTTCGCACCTGATACAGAGTGTCTGTTTATTCGTCATTAGCTAGGAACGTCACAGCTTTGGGCCGTGTACTTACCGCTGCTAGGGCCTGGAGATCCGGATGAACCCTCCATTTGCAAGTTGATAATCCTTAGAAATAACACATGTTAGTTATGCTAGTTATTCATACTCGCATCTACCGTAAAGCTATGGCACAAGAGCAGCTCCGTATTCAACTTACAGATACATCGGCTTGCCGAAGAAGTTCCCTCCGACCTGCGTCGTGACAAGCGAGCCGTCCATGTAGAACTTGACAGAGACATCCCGCTGGTTGATATCGCGGACTTCGCACTTGATGGAGTGGAACTGGTCTGGGCTGGCGTAGTTCACGTCCTTCCAGGAGAGCACGGACGACGTGTTAAACGTGTTGAACGAGATCTTGCCCGACCCCTTCCACTCCGCCATGTCGATCTCGGGCGGCCAGCCCTCCACCGCCGTCAGCCAGAACGCGGGCCAAGTGCCCTTGGTCGTCGTGGCCTTGAACTCGCCCGAGAAGTCGTACCCGCCGCCCCGCGACACGTTGAAGTGCTCCTTGGCGCTGACGGCGCCGGACAGGTAGTTGATCTTGATCTGCTGGCCGCCGTGCGTGGCGTCCTTTTGGCCGGTGACCTTTTTCGCGGTCAGAGTCACCATGCCGTTCGAGAACTGGACTTGGCTCTTGTCCATGCGCGCGCCGCCGTTGTGGTCGGTTCCCCACGGGTAGTTGTACGCCCAGTCCGCGTCGAAGTTGGACTGCGAGTCGAAGCTCGTTTTGGGGATTATAGTCCGGACTGCCTCGGCGCAGGACGCAGCTGCTAGGAGCAGCGAGTATGCTCCGAGTAAATGCATGGTGGCGAGCAAGCAGACGGTGATTTCCTTATGAGCGAGCGTGAGAAGGCAACTTAAGAGCTCGCCCGGATTATGAGCGAGGTCGTCGAATAAATACTCCTCTGCTCTGGTCTAGACTCAACGGCAGGCTTAAGATTAAACTGGATCATAATGGTAGGGGAGCAATGCTAATGGTGGAAATATTAATTAGTTGAGTTGCAATATACGCCCTCGTCCCGTACATATAGCACCCGTCTGGGGTAGGTATGTAGTATAGCCACCGCGGTCGATATTTATCCGGATGAATCCTCGACTGGAAATTGTCTAATAGGTCGGGTTATGGACGATGTCAGTAGATGTCAACACGAAAATAGAAGGAGAGCGAAAAGCGCCAATACAACAACGGGATCATGTCTCGTGTTAATGCTTGTATTAAGGTCTAACTATCTTAATACGGTTATTATGCCGAAGCCCCTGATCGATCGGCAGTGGCATGTTCTGCTTGCTCGACCTTGACGTTCAACGTCGTATTGGTGCGGCTAGCGTCAGTTTTTGATGTGGTCTTTAATGCGGAATTCTCACATGTTGTAAATAGCTGTACTTAGATAGCCCTTCATTTCTAGTGCTGTTGTTATATATTTTAGTCAGAGTATTATTGGTTCACCTCTTGAATATAGTCAGGGGATATTAATCTGTAAGCGATGCCCGCCTTTACATAAACTAAATATTAACAAGTTGCGTTGAGTTTATTTACATTATAATCTTATCAAAAAGAGCATAAGTATTGTTAGTAAGAGCTTCAATCTACTAGTACTAATATATTCATAAGCAGTATTTGGGGAGCCTTCAAAGTTTGGCAGCTGAATGGTATAATATATACTCCTAGGTATTCATTATTGATTTGAACGTATAGAGATTTCGACGAGATGCCCCCTTAGCCTTGCTCGGTATCCCGGTCTTCCTCGGATTCTGCAACGCAAGTCAGTTGTAGCAAGCCGTTATCCATATTACTACACTCGTAAACGGGAGACTCTCCACTCGGAACCGTGACCGTGATATTTTCGATTTTGATGTTGCTACACCGCTGATTTTGGGATTTGGGTTAGCATACATAACTACCTTGCTTCAAGATATGTAGGATCTTAGAACTGACATCTGGTGCGCTGCATACAAGCGAGCCTGCTTGCGGGTCTAACTTCGTAGATGTCGTTCCGTATATATTCTTCATGGTTACGTCTTCGATAGTTAAATTGGCCTGCATAGTTAAAAGTTAGTATTGCGAAGGCGTCCTAACATAAGGCTCTCTGGCCTCCAGTGACACTTACCGGGAACTCATTACACAATGTCTTGTTGCTCTGTCCGTAACACTGCGTGATAGTGATGGCCCTATCGTTATTAATGCTGTGAAGGAGATCATACGTAACATTTCGAACATAGCCAGATCCTCCACCGCCGACGAGATGAGTTTGGAAGTTAGTCTGCGTGCCGGGCCACACCTTTATCCTCGCAAAGTCACTGGCGTTGGTCATAGAGATATTATAGATGTGCAGGTTCTCGACAATGTCAGTTTGGCCTACGTATTGGCCAATGGAACCAATGCTGATACCATGCGAGCCGATGCACTCTAAGTTTTGGATGACAACGTTGGTGCTGTTTGGTTTGAAGGACACGCAGTCTTGTAAGTTAGCAACCGTCCAGAACAGTTAAGTGTTATCGTATACATACCATCAGTGTTTCGAATAAAAGAATCTTGTATTACTACTCGATCGGAACGGTAGGTGTCCCAACCATCCGAGTTAGCAATCTTCACACCGCTGAGAGACTATAGCTGTTAATGTCTGTGGCACTTCTGGGCGAGGATGGTTTACCTCCGCGCGAAGATCCATGTTGCTAACGATGATGTCGGAACTATTCGCAATAATATTGAACCACTATAAGCGTGTCAGCCAAGGGTTATCTGTATTAATAGTCAAGTATCGCTAATACCATCACTTACGTTTGGCGGGTTGCGCATCCGTAGATTCGACATGGTGGCCCCCTTCATGCCGTCGAAGGCAAAGAGCATAGGCCGATACAACTACAAATCTTAGAGTTAGTACAAGTTTCTAATATAAATACTATACCGAAGTTATTATAAATATACTTACAGCCGTATTAGTCTGCAACTCTTCCCAATACGCCTGACCCTTGCCATCAATGACACTCTTACCCTCCTCCAGAGTCAAATCGCCGTATATATTAACATCCTCTCCACCGAGCTTCCAAAACACGCTTTGGTTCTGGAACTCGTATTTGAAGCTGTTGTTCTGCCAGTAGTACACGTCAGAGTCGTCGAAAGCGATGGAGCCGGTGATGACAACGTCGATGTGCTTGAGAAAATTGAGGTCCAGTGGCGAGCCAATTTGATAGGACTTATCGAATACTACGGTACCACCGTCGTTGCATTCCTGCAGGGCTTGCAGTATATGCGGTGCGTCGTCGCGTTTCGTGCTACATCCTTGCTTTACATGGCAGTACCGCCCTTTCTCACGCAAAGGCGAGGGTGGCATGGCTCTGCCGGCGCTATAAGGACCTGGTACGACATTGGGACGAGACGGGATCTTGGAGTGTCCCGTCGCAAACGCTGGCGAGAGAAGAGCAAGCGCAGCTATAAGCGAGCTCACTGGGTTGAGCTGCATCGTCGAAACGCTGTAGACTCATGTACTTGAAAGCTATTTATTTGATATTCCTCTGATAGCTCAAGCTACAAGCATCTATCTTCCCGGTGTCTAGCAAAAGAATAAAGCCCAGAGGTGGTATCTACATATTTCTGGAGATGTCTAATATAAAAGTTGGAATGTTCACACGCTCGGGCTCGAAACGGCACGAAGCCAAGACCCCGAACCAAGATGCCCGGAAGATATATCACAGCGATAGGTGGATGATCTGTGGGGTTTGCTATAGGTTCCTGGAGATCTCGGCTAGTCGGCCAATATTACAGCGGTGCTAGGTCGTTGGTTGACAGATTAAGTCTTCATCGAGCCTCCACAAGTAGGACTAAATCCTACTTAGCATCAGGAGATATATTCTGTAGCTGTCATTCGATGATCTTTATCATATATATGATAGGATCAAGGTTTAAGAACTCCAACCCTGTTCCCCCACAACTGACCTGGATACTTCCCCGCATGATCTGGGGTTGAATAGCTGGGGTTACCGCTCTGATATAATCCTGGCTTAGGCTAATGGTACTATGGTAAACTATTAACTAAGCTTTTCTTTACTACATAGTTACTACATATAACCGATCCGTAAAGATGTTAGATAAAATGTGGCTTTGATGTCTGCTTGCTGTCGAAGCGAATTTGATATTAGACAAGGGGTAGTTATCTTAAAAATATAAGTCAGATACCATGTTCAAACATCGGCTTGTTACTATCATACGAAACCCCGTTTATATTCTTGGGATAGAACAATCATACTATACTGTATTGTATACGCATCTATTTCAACTTCTATGCTAAGTTACTCCAAATACGATAATACATCTAGACTCAAGCATCTTCGCCTCGTACTTCCCGTTCTAGATACTGCGCCTTCTAGTAGTCTAAGCATACTACCGAGCCTCAAACGACTCGAATAAACCCACCACAGAACAACCCCTAATAAGCCGTATTTGCTAGCCCCCGACATCAAATCGGAGTCAAGCACTACGTAGACTTATCCTCTCCCTTCCCCTCCCCCTTTAACTTCTCCAACCCCTCCACCCCACCAACATCCTCCCTAAACCTCGGCCTCTGAATCTCCACCGCCTCCGTAACACGAGCATACGTGATCCCTCCCAACCGGCCCACCGGCCTAAGCACCGCGGGATCAATCAAACTGCGCTCCTCATTAACCGCATCCTCGCGGACCCAGAATCGCGTGCCCTCGAGTAGAACCAGACACCCCGTCTTCTTCCCCGGCTCAGCCCGGCTCTCGAACTCGCGCACGCTCTCGAGCTTGCACTCGACGCTGAACACAGCCTCTTTTACCCTCGGGGCCTTGACGTCGCGCGTGTCGTATACGGGTGTCAGACCGCTGACGTCCCACTCGCTGGTACCGTACGGGGCGTCCACGCTTGTCGCGTTCGCCGCCTCGAGGAAGTCCTCGCCGATGATGCTGACCACGCACTCCCGGCTGTCGAGGATGTTGCGCAGGGTATCTTTTGGCGTGGCGAGCGTGGCGGCTACGCCGAGCGCGAAGAGCGGCGGGTCGTGGCGAGCGTGGCGGCTACGCCGAGCGCGAAGAGCGGCGGGTCGTGGCTCACCATGTTGAAGTATGAGAAGGGCGCTAGGTTGCGCGCGCTGCCGTCTGCGGCTTGCGACGATACGAATCCGATGGGTCGCGGTACGATGCCGCTGATGAGTAGCTTGTAGTTGAAGGTGAGGGGGCGCCCTGCCTCGTACGGGTCGATGCACACGTGTTTCTTGTCGTCTGCCTCGGCAGCGCGCTGGCTATTAGCGCCGGAGCCGATGGGCCAGTCAGGAGCGGCGGTTTTGGTATACCGGAACTGCGACTCGTTATCCCAGTCCGGGCGCGACGCCTCGGCCTTCTTGAAGTCCGGGTGCGGGTTCCGCTTAATAGCGGCCTCCTGCTGAGTTGAGAAGGACATGTTGTTGGCGGCGAATACCGGATCTAATAAAAAAACTCTAGGTAGCACAAAGTGCGGTGTTGGTCTTCCTCGCAGTGTGCGGATTGCCAAGAAAGAGTTCCGATGGTGAGGAGGCGGCATGGGGAGGAAGTTATAATACCGCAAGGCGGCTACACGCGGGTGATAATCGCCGAGAGATACAGCGTAGCGGAATAGCCGATTACCGGAGGAGACGGCGCGGAACGACGGAGATGGCTTCCCACTTTTAGCGCTTGTAGGATTCCTCGATTCCCTGTAAGGATTATAAATGGCCGTGTTTATTAATGTATGATTGTTTGCGTTTGGAAGTTTTGAAAAGACCATTAGTCCTTTTCGAAAAAGAGCATTCTGTTATTAGGTTGGGTGGTGATGTAATGTTTCGGAACGCTTACTCGGAACGTTTCTGAATCGGGGAACTCGGGGGAGGACCGGGATTGAATGATAGTCGGGGATCAAAAGTGTTCCCGAAGTTGAATCGGAACGAGAGAAATTCCACAATGGATCCCTAGACTATAAATCATCAGGACATAGTATAGACTCCTCCCTATGATGGTATCTAATTTATTGAACCACAAAACAGTATAATCATAAAGATTTCAAACAACCATGGTAGAATGAAGAAGTAACAAATATCTTTTAACGAAAATATCATCCATCTCATTGAATTCATACAATTCATACGCATCATCTTACACCATGCCTGCCCTCTAACTCCTCATCTAGGTATCTAGTCCTTGACGCCTACCGAAACCGCAAAGCCTGCCTTAGTCCCGACGACAGCTTATCCCTAAAACGCCAGTGTCATACTTGTAACCCAGATGTTGAAAAAAAAATTTCAACAAACTTATCCCACGTAGATAAAATTAAAAAAAGGTATAACCCGGCCCGGCAAACACTGCATGCTGGCACACCTAGTGCTATATTTACCAACACCTTCCCAGCCGTACATGTAACCAAAGGAAAATTAGAAAGTGAGGCTCTGCCCTCTTCGCGAGAGGATATATTCGCAACCTAGCCTGGCCTTCTCCTCGTGTGCGAGTATCTCTTTCAATATCTTGTCTCCTGCCGGTTCTTTGCCGTCGAAGTTTTCCTTGGTATGGATGATAACTACCGTTAGCCCTCGGAGAGCATTAGGCATCTTCGGAGTCCGCAGTATACTGGCATCCTTCAGATTCATCTCGGCGGTTGGAGCCATGAGATGCGAAGAAATGTTGTTTTCACTGGACTCGGGTCTCGTGCTCTTTGGTGGTCGCATCGATTTCGGCGACACAGACCGGTCGTCTACCGGCACGGGCCCGTGAGTAGCCCGGGCAATGGCTCTGTTAGCTCTCCTGCCTGATTCTTCCAGCTCCCTCTTGCGTTTCTTAGTCGACTCGAGCCTAGCTGGGACCTGGCGAATTCTCTCGACTTCTGCCGCGAGTGTTTGCATCTCTTGGGTGATGTAGCGCGGGGTTAAATGGCCATAGAGTCTGTCGTCGGTCCGGCTATCGTCGTACGAGCATTCGATAAATATCGCTGCGAGGTGTCCGGTTGCGATCTTCGGAGCCGCTTCAAGCCAGACGCCAATGTTCCTTGGAGACAACGAGAGGCTATCGGGCTCCACATCGCCGAACATCAGGATTTCGCGACCGCTGAGTGCGTCCCGGATGAAGTATGCACTCGAATCGTAGACACATTCTGTTTCCCGTTCGATTTCGCCTATGGATTGAGTTCTGACACCGTTCCTGAAGATAATTGACGACCCCGAAGCGCCATTGGCACTACTAACACTTCTAGGCGATATGAGAGATCCATCTGTACTTCCATAGCGTGAAGACGTCGAACCCCTATGGGCATGTTTCTCCATGCAATGTCCGTGGCTGACGCTGAAGACTTTAACTGTGAGACCATCGCTAACTTCTAGGTAGCCTCTATCAGCCCCTTCGCCAAGAGCCGGACTACCTCCCTCGACTAAACGCATGTAAGTTACGAGGCCGGCGCCATTATTCTCATCAGATAAATTTGGCCAGATAATATTGTTGAAAATATGCGTCTTGAACGCAGAGATGGTAGAGGGCAGACCGGCGATGCGTTTTGGTTTTGTTCCTGGAGGAGCTGCGGTGTTGAGAACGAATCCGCTGATATGGTCCAGATGAGGGTGAGTAATTAAGTACGAGTCAACAAGATTTTTTGATACATCAAACGCATTGGCCGACGCAGAGGTAGAGTGGATTTCCATGCCCGCAAAGGGTCCTGTCCTTAAGACATGCGGTAATGCAATATCACAGCCGAGGCCTGGTGGCTGCGTCTCCTCAAGAATTTGAGTGATGGCGGCGAGGTGAACGCCACCATCGAGAGCAACTAACGATCCCCGACTCCAGTTAGTTCTAACGGACCGTACGAGGAAAGCGGTGACATTGTCCTCCCGTGGTCCACCACTCGCGCCCTAAGATGAGAATTGAATGTTAGTATCTACAGTATACCGATAATTCATAATAGCACAATATTAATCCTAATTGGGATCCTCGGTGTGAGAAGCAAATGTCAACCGTCACCGTTGCGCCGCGTAATCCGAGTCAAAGGACCGGACCGGTGTAGGTACATTAAATGGAGGTCCCGAAGTACAAGATGGACAGTGGACAGGGACGGTTCCGGTGACGTCACAATTTCCGGAGAGATTGATAGAACCGATAGAAGAAGTTATCGACATGCGAATACACGTGACCTCTGCTATTTTCTTATATCCGATAGATGGGTTTGGCTCGAATTTGGTATTTGGAATTTGGAATTTGGGGTGTTTGCTCTTTCGTATTTGTTGTCACCGGCCGTCGAGTCTGGCAGAAGGATAGTAAGCTTTGTCTTCTTCCAGAGAGTCCTCGGAACCAAGGCAACCGGAGAATCATTTGTTTAAAAACGGGTACATGGAATCCAACAGATAAATACTTTGCGACCAAATTGCCTTGGAGTATCTGTTTCGTCGTCGGGTCGGTAGCGGTTTGGTTGTTGAACCAATTAAATTCCCCCATATTGATCGATCTAACTATGCGCCAGTGCAGCATTTCATTCGACTCATATGCGCAATACATGCTCACATCCAAGTGGTCATCCAAGTGGTCGAGGGTCGCGTTGTAAGCAGCACCAGCTGCTGGCGAATCAAAGGTCGTTGTTCCAAACAGGTTGCATTTCATGAAACTAAGATTGAGATGAAACGACTTTACTTACCAGCACAATGACCTGCAAGGCAGGCTGACTTGCATTTCTCGTCCTGTCCTGTCTACCCATTCTCTTGCGACAATTGGTAGCAATTGCGACGGTTCCGTAGCACCTTTGTCTCGTTTTGTCTCGTCTCGTCTAGTGACAACCGATGTGTAAAGGGTAGTTTGTTGCGCTCGCCGGGGGAGAAGAATATTCTTCCAGCTTTCAATTCTTCTCTTGGATATGCGAAAGAGTGTTTGGAGAAGGTGGCTTGGGCGATGCACAGCGTTGAGGCCGTTATTCGTCCCCAAAGGAGCGCGCTACGGCATCGGTTCTTTTGCTTTTGGTAGGTTATCTACCACCTAAAGCTTTCCGTATCCCACACGTGACTTTGAATTCCAGCGCCGCTCTCTCACCCCAGCTCTTGTTTCCTTTTCTCGGCGTTGTCTGACCTTTGTAATTCTTCAGGCGGCTTCTCAGTAACAATAGAAGAAGGGAAGAAAAAAGAAGAGAAAAAAGAGTTAGACGGAAGTGGTTCAAGATATATCCCCCATGTGAACAATTAATTCTGGAAATCTGGGGAACTGGGATCTTCTGACTTTAAGGTTAGTTACCTAAGTAAGTGATGTGTGCAAGCCCCTAAGTTGTAGCTTTTATCCAATTCAGTTCTAGCGCACAGGAGGCACAGCTAATCGAAAACTCCACTGCAGCGCAAATCGAGTTCCGGTATGGGCAGGTTCGATTCTTGGGTTTGTTTTAGCGTTTACCTAGGGCCGGCTAGGACCTACTAGGACCTGATAACAACGGAGCGGTACCACCTTGATATGTGTTCCTCTCGGTCACTCCGGTATCTACGACTCTACACATGCGAATCGCATCATTCATACTGCATTTTTATTTGCCAACCACAACCTGTTTTTTCTTGTCACAGATTTAAAATTGGGCCTTCCTTTTCCGATCCTATCCTACCCTTAGTTTCGGTACCGCGTCTTTTTTTTGGTTTAACATCAGTAGGTATCATATTCGACGTCTTATTTACGCTTAATAGAAGCCGCATTAGGATACTAGCTTGTACTTACTTACTATGTTAACAGCGGATGTTATGCGACTATTGTGGTTCTCGCTAATAATAACTCAACCGTAGTGACGTTGTTTGCGCGGTAAGACGGGGCTAACAACTGGCCATCACTTATATAGCCTAGGTACCTTATGTCTTGTTGACTTAAGTCAGTCAGTAGTCAAACTACGCACTCGCCTAGGTTGATCTATTCAAGCCGATGTTCAGTTCATACACATCATCTCTGAGTCAACAGTTACTCGTACAGGACTCGGATCTACATATACATAGGTACCTAATATATAAAAGAACCCCGAAGCAAGGCATCTGGTCCAGGGTTGTCTACTATGATGTCTCCAATCACTGACTCTCGACATAGTACATTTATATTTACATTTATATTGAATATCCAGAAGTAGATAATACATTAAGTGCCTGTCTACCTAAATACCTAACCATTTAATACCTTAAAGTGTAGAGAGTATGCGTACTTATACGCTATATATATGACGACTAGAAAACTTACCGTGAGTGGGTAAACAGTTGTTGCTTTTTAGAAAACATAAAACAAAATCGGTTGCTGAAAGATATCGGTTGTAGAAATACTTTTTTTTTTCTTTTTTTAATAATTTCTTATATGGACATTTTCTCGAATAGCCTGCCCATGGAAACATACATCCCGGTATCGCGTACATTTGACAAACTCCCCTCGTCAGAGACGTGGCAACAAGAAAGGACAACTTACTCACGAAGCGCCCAACCCAATGCGTGTCCTAAGGTCAAACGCCACCCCTATGCCCTAGAATGCCTAATTTTCCCATGAATTCAAACTTACCGCAAGTTGAAGATATTCAGCTACATGGGCAGCTTATTCGTTGGACCGGTCTCTGCCTCCAGGGCAGCTGTGTCCAATGGCAAACTGCCTCAGGGGTTGTATAGGTCGGCGAGTCCGGCTTCGTCAGCAGGGTTGCCAAAAAGATCATCGCATTCGTTGAATTCTATATTGTCCACAGCCTCGACCGAATCGTCATCAGCCATTTCAGCTTGTTTTTCGCCTTTTTCTTGGTTATCTTCCGTACCCTCTGTAATAATATCCACGTTAACGGACGCTGCATTATGGATATTAAAATCGGAATCCGGGTACAAACCTAGAGGCTCAGTCGGAGGCGGAGTTGGCAAATGACTTGCCTCCGTTGGCGTTGGTACACTACCAACCCCATTGTCGGCCTCGTCCTGTTGCCCCGTGTGATCTGGTACCTGAGCATACGCATGTTGAGGCGTTGTGGGTGGTGCTGGGCTAGGGCTTGTTCGTGGCCTCTTATTTGGGCCATCCCGAATAGGATCGTAGGGTATACCGATATTTCGATCTTCCATCAATACTTCGTCCCTACCTCGCTTTCGTGCCGTGTTCCCTATGGGACTCGACGAGGTTCCAGGGCTCGAAATTGGTTGTTGATGGTAAGGAGGAGGCGATATTGGCTTTGGAGACAAATACGCATAGGGCGAACCCGAACCCAGCACTGGAGTGTAGAAATCAATTGACGAGTGTATACTACAAGGCGTTGAATTAGTAGCGTCCTGTTGATATTCCGCGGTGCTTTGGTAAGTTGTTGATGCTGGTGAGGGCAGATCTTCTGCTGGTGCTGGAGTGTCTTTACGTCCGCCTGTTCTAGCTAATTTCTTTGCTAGGCGTTTTTCAAGCATAAGCTCTGGCAGCCGTACATCGGCACCGGGGACTGGGTTGTCATTATCATCTAGTAACCCAAAGTTTCTACATTCTCTCAAGAACTTTTGTTTTTTGATGTCTCCTTTGTGCTTTGCCATATTAGCGCCACCTCTCTCTTCGCGTAGTTTAAGACGAGCGTCAGTGCTATTATCAAGTGCATGGAGAATAAGCCGGTAGCTTAGGGAATTCTTATAATTACGATGGTCTCGCCTCTTCCCCCTTGATCTGGCCTCAACGAACTTTGGATATTCGTCGTACCACCACAAGTCGACTACGGTCCGCATATCAGAGAAATGCCTTGTCAACTTGAAGATGTTATCCTCGTGCTTGAAGTTCCTCTCGTCGGGGCGGACGTCGAGGTGAATCATGGCGTCGACGAGATCGAAATGCTGCTCAAAGCAATATAAATGCATATACCCGGCATTATGGTAAGGGTCGATGACCTCACCGTCATCATTCATCCGCTCATCAAAGATAATACGCGGAAATCCCGTCCTGATGGTATTCTGAGTATCTTCACAGCCGGCAAATCGACACTTCTGAGATTGGGTTCCGTAGGGATATCTGTCATTGGACTGAGGAGCGACCCAACCAATCCACAACGTAAGACCCTGGCGGATCCTGTCCTCTACCTCTGGTACCCCGTGTAATCGGCTCGGTTGCGAAAAAAGGTCATCGTTTTTGGGGCCGTAGAGATACCTACGTAGTTCGTGTTCCGAATACGTTTTGCCCCTCTCAAGCTCTCCGCATTCCGTATACTTAAAAAGAGGACGGCCATTTTTATCCTTTGGACCCCAGCTCTCCGGGGGAGATGGTGGGGACCCGTACCACTCCCGAGGGTCTGGTTTTGGGTCTTTCTTCCTTGTGACTCTAGGTATCTGGCCGCTTCTTAGCGATAATCCATTGGGCCCCTTGGCAGGGCGCTTTAAGGGGGGCTCATGGTGAATGAGGACTGGTGAGGGTATTCTGCTCCTTCTGAGTGAAAATATGTCCCGTTTTTCGTTCTCTGGTTGGCTGTTGCTGTACTCAGAGCTCAATATACTCACGTCGCTGATTCGGCGAGGGGTTGGATACGAACTAAGTGGCTGCGGATGCTGAGGTTGATAAGGTTGATAAGGTTGAGGAGGCGGTGAAAACTGGGTAGGATGAAACTGGGTGTAGTTGATAGGATAGCTTGGGGAGGTGGCTGTGAAATCATGGTGGTTGGCAACGGGGCCACTGATGTTCATGGAATTATACGTACCGTACGGTTCTTGCTGGAAGGTAGGAACCGCAACATGACCGGTGTTACTTAGAAGGGTCGGGTCTACGAACTCTTGAGAGACCGGGTAAATTGGTTCCGGTACTGCAAGAGTCGGGTCGAAGCTCTGGAACTGAGAAGGATGAGTGTTATATGGACCGACAGGTGGAACGACAGGCGGTTCAAGGAAATCTGGTAGTGTATCAAATTGTGTAGTCAATATCGGATTATCAAAATCGATATTTTGAAGAATGCTTGATGTGTCACCGTACATATCCGGAGGTTCCATCCCCGGGTACTGATTTCGCTCGTAACCCATTATTGGTTGAGTAGTATGTCACCTAATAGTGCGAGATCTGAGTTCGACGCAGCTTATAGACGAGGTAGTCAGCTCTGCTAAACCGCCAAGGCAAGAAACCGCTATGAGAAGTCGATCAGGGGTAAAACCAACAGGGTTACTCTATGAAAAAAAATTCTACTCGTATTGATCGGCACTACGTAACTATATACTATTGAGATAACAAATCCTTTTTCTTCATTGCGGTCCGAGAGGGGCATTGTTCGTGTATAACATTGTTAGGCACAATAAACAAGTTACTTCCCTAGAAAGAACCTCTTATAACAGCAGCATTGTCCATTACAAAGAAACGATGTGTATAGGCACAAGGGAAACGAGATCTGAAGGGAAGCTACATTGATAGGGGGTTAGATGGGTTCACGGCATGATAACCATTTTCGAAGCCTATGTTATTGGTTAGCAGGGGTTGCGTACAACAAAACATAAGCGTTGCGTCAAGAAGATATGTATAATCAGTAGAGCTCAATGCATTTTCTCAACAGGGAGTTTCAGAACAGGTCTGTGAATGCGTTGATTTCATCAGGGGATATCGTAGAGGTGCTTGAATAAGAAGATAAACTTACTTCGTGACATCGTGGCAGTTATACCGATTCCCTAACATCTAGTATTAGGTGGGCAATCAGGGGCCGGATTATTCAATGCGAATAAAATATTCGACCATTAAACAAAGGCAAGGAGAACTCCCTTCTCTAGGTTGTGCCATTAAAAAGAGCTGTTAGTAGTTGTCCCCGTTCATGTTTCTTCTAGGGATACAGATTGGGTAGCGGATGATATCACGCCTCTTGTCCAAGACACCAAGCTGAATGAGAAAAATGGCTCAGAGTTTAGGGTTTGTTGCTAGACTCGGCTACGACGAGCTTTCTAATAATCGGAGCTGATAAGTTAGAAGCTTGCCATCTGCTTATATCCAACGAATCCTCATCTAATTCGGTTGCGAATTCTAATGATTGAGATAAAGTGATCAAAAAAAAAGAAAGGAAATTTTAACAGTAAAAAGAAAATGTTAGTTTTTTTTTGGTTAAGTACTTACTTGCGGCGTATAGGTTTTACCGTACTCCGCTCACAAAAACGTGGACGTCTCGTGACATCCCAGATAGCCTAGGTACATCAGCGTAGGTACATTAAGTCAAGTACTCCCCAAAGACCATGATTGATCGATAAGCGCTGCTAGGGCCGTCCCACTACTTCCCACTTCGTTTTTCCCAGGCACTGCAGGCACTGGTGGCATCGGTGGGTTGGAACATTCAAAGTTCGTATTGCCCTAGTGCGTGCTCTTCGCAACCTTATTACGACCAATTGCGACCAATTACGGCCAATTGCCAGCGTAAACTTGGGGTTTGCTCGTAAAAATAGGTACTTACACCACCTCATACAGATGTACTTCGTACATACAGGTACCTAAAAGGTAAAGACAATGTACCTAGGTACCTGGAAGCCACAGTTAGAACATCAGACTTCTGAGAGTCGAATTATTTCCATGTTTCCAAGTTCCCATTTAACCTTTTTAATGATCCTTTTCCGAATACATATCTGCCCAACTCGCAGTACATTGCTGTGTTGCATTGTCATGATACCCTATTTTTATATCTGACCGAGGTATTATTGGTTGGTATATCTTGTTGCGATAGGTCGAAGAGGAAGAAAGGTCAATATCGTCCCCCCCCCCCGAAACAATTTGACGTCACGGGCCTCTCGCCTTTTTTGAATCGCTTTTGAATCGGGTAATCCGGCGGACGAGACGGGCGTAAACCTTTGAGCGCTTCTTCCCTTCTGTGCTAAACGACGAGAAATCGACATGGCGCAATTGAATCCGGACCTGCAAGAGAAGTTGGACGAATTGGAGAGAGAGCTCGAGGTACGCTGGTGTCATTTACTTCTCCCGTTATTCGGCTCGCGATACCCTTACCGCCCGCCAGCAGCGGCGGGGTACGAGGCCCAACATGTTCACAAGAGAAGCCATTGAACGCAAACTAACTACGAGTCCTGGTATAGGAAGGCGACATTACAGAGAAGGGGTAAGGTTTTGTCTTTAATACTATAGTGTATATCATTAGACCTTCCTCTTGACGTGCCATCGCATACAGTATTCATCCTTAGTCGTGCTAACACGCCTCATTTCGCCTGTAGCTTTCAAAAACGACGGACCCAGCTACTCTCGCAATATCTAGGCCCCGGCGCATTAGCTGATGCTACTGGAGGCTTACGAATACACACTGTCGACGACGATACCCCTAATACGAGCGAAGGGCATAGAGACGCAGCATATGCCGCTTTAAACACCGTTAATCCAGATCCCCATGACGCGTATTCCCCTTCGACTATCACATCTCCCGTCGATTGGCGACCCCAATCGACTGGAATACCCAGTTCTGGCCCTCCCTATGGCGCCGAGCATCCGGCCGGGTTGCTACGTCCAGGCGGACCTTTGGCCGAACAACGTCCAACCTTGAGCCAGCGCGATTCGCTATTTCTTAACCCTGTTCCTAGCTATGCTCAAACGATGGTTTCTGACTCTCCCACGCGGTCGGGGACGATGGTCTCGGGGGATTATGCCTTTAAACCGGAGCACCAAGGAGGGTATGGACCCCAACAACCAAACCCTTATGACAGCCGGACCGGCACAATGGTAGACTCCCAGGTGTATTTTTCCGATTTTGCCGGTCAACAGTCATACGACCAAGGTCCCGGTGGCGGCGGCGGCGGCGGCGGCGGCGGCGAATATGGCGGAGGCGTACACAGATATTCATCCAGTGATGCCTTCTCACCTACCGCTGCTATGGCCCCGCCCATGCTCACTGCGAGTGATTTACCTCCCCCCGAGGCACTAGAGTATCAGATGCCCCTCGACCCACGAGAACTACCATTTGCTATCCATGACCCGCACGATGAAAATACCGCTATGTCGAATTTCGACAACATTGCTGCTGTGCTAAGACATAGGGGGCGCACTACTGGGAAGCTTCCGGCATATTGGGTGCTTGATAGTAAGGGAAAGGAGATAGCATCTATTACTTGGGACAAGCTCGCTTCTCGAGCAGAGAAAGTAGCACAAGTCATTCGAGACAAAAGTTCGTTGTATCGTGGGGACCGCGTTGCTCTTATTTACAGGGATTCAGAGATCATCGACTTCGCGATCGCCCTCCTAGGCTGTTTTATCGCGGGCGTTGTGGCAGTTCCTATTAATGACTTACAGGACTACCCAAAGTTAAACCTCATCTTAACTTCCACGCAAGCGCATTTAGCCTTAACTACCGACAATAACTTGAAATCATTTCAGCGAGATATCACCACGCAGAAATTGAACTGGCCTAAAGGGGTTGAATGGTGGAAAACTAATGAATTTGGAAGCTACCATCCGAAGAAGAAGGATGACGTACCCCCTTTATCCGTCCCTGATCTAGCATACATTGAATTTTCCAGAGCCCCGACTGGAGATCTTCGGGGTGTGGTACTTAGCCACCGCACTATAATGCACCAGATGGCGTGTCTAAGTGCTATAGTTCAGACCGTCCCTAATGGGTCCAACGACACCTTCAACCGTACCCTTAGAGATAAGAATGGACGCCTCATAGGAGGGGGCGCTAGCAGTGAGATTCTTTTATCCTACCTTGATCCTCGTCAAGGCATCGGTATGATTCTGGGTGTCCTTCTCAATGTCTATAGCGGTCATACGACTGTATGGGTAGAGAATAAAGCGGTAAACGCTCCTGGTCTCTATGCCCACCTCATTACTAAATATAAGGCTACGCTTATGGTTGCCGACTATCCCGGCCTGAGAACTGCTGCCTTCAACTACCAACAAGATCCCATGACTACGCGAAATTTCAAGAAGGGCATGGAGCCAAACTTTCAGCATGTCAAGCTTTGTCTAATCGATACCTTGACGGTGGATAGTGAGTTCCACGAAGTATTAGCTGATCGATGGCTTCGACCTCTACGAAACCCTAGGGCTAGGGAAGTCGTTGCCCCGATGCTATGTTTGCCCGAACATGGAGGCATGGTTATCAGCGTCCGGGATTGGTTAGGTGGCGAAGAGCGCATGGGATGTCCATTGAAATTAGATATCGACACCGATTCCGGTTCAGAAACCGACAAGGAGGAAGATAAGGACAAAGAAAAAGAGAAGGAAAAGGAAAAGGAGAAGGATAAGGAGAAGGATAAACCAGCGCCATCGAATGGTTTTGGAAGTCTTCTCGGGGGCGGTACAACGACTACGAAAGAGCATGACGCTAAGAATGATCTCAGCGAGGTTCTGTTAGACCGAGAAGCGCTCAAGACGAACGAAGTCGTCGTAGTAGCCATAGGAGAGGACGCTCGGAAGAAGGCGAATACCGAACTAGGCACCGTCCGGGTTGGTGCCTTTGGATATCCGATTCCTGATGCTACTCTCGCTGTTGTTGACCCCGAAACGGGACTTCTGACCTCTCCACATTCTATTGGAGAGATTTGGGTGGATTCTCCTTCTTTATCCGGGGGGTTTTGGGCGTTGCCCAAGCATACAGAGCAGATCTTTCATGCCAGACCCTACAAATTCGAACCGGGAGACCCGACTCCTACACCGGTAGAGCCCGAGTTCCTTAGGACCGGTCTTCTTGGGACCGTGATTGAAGGCAAAATTTTCGTGCTTGGATTATATGAAGACCGTATCCGACAGAAGGTCGAGTGGGTCGAGCATGGCCACGAGGTTGCTGAACATCGATACTTCTTCGTGCAGCACATTATTGTCAGCATCCTTCGAAACTTGAATAAGCAAGTATTTGATTGCTCCGCGTTTGACGTCTTCGTCAATGATGAGCATCTACCAATAGTAGTACTAGAGTCGTCGGCAGCTTCAACAGCTCCAGCAACGTCCGGTGCTCCGCCTAGGCAGCTAGACACCGCGTTGTTAGACACGCTCTCAGAAAGATGCATGGATGTTCTTATGCAAGAACACCATCTAAGGGTTTATTGCGTTATGATCACGGCACCGAATTCCTTACCGCGTGTGACGAAGAACGGTAGGCGAGAGATAGGAAACATGCTGTGCCGCAGGGAGTTCGACCTCGGCAATCTACCATGTGTTCATGTAAAATTTGGCGTCGAACATGCGGTGCTAAACCTGCCTATCGGGGTGGACCCTATGGGCGGTATTTGGTCGCCCACGGCGTCAGACGCTCGAGGAGACTTCCTTGGACCTGCTGACAAGCAATATTCAGGAATTGACAGACGCGAGGTTGTCATTGACGATCGTACATCTACGCCATTAAATAACTTCTCAAGCATCACAGATCTCATCCAATGGCGAGTAGCACGGCAGCCGGAAGAGCTCTCCTATTGCACTATCGACGGCAGGGGTAAGGAAGGGAAAGGCATTACGTGGAGAAAGTTCGATACTAGAGTTGCTGCTGTAGCCCTGTATCTTCGTAACAAGGCCAGAATACGGCCCCGTGACCACGTCATGCTCATGTATACGCATTCCGAAGATTACATTTTCGCCGTCCATGCTTGCATCAACCTCGGTGCCGTCATCATACCAACTGCACCGATGGACGAGCGACGATTGAACGAAGATGTGCCGGCTTTCCTCCATCTCATTAATGACTATGGCATTAAAGCTGTCCTTGTTAATAATGAGGTAGATCACCTCCTTAAGTCGAAGGCCGTCTCCCAGCATATCAAACAATCCGCCCAGTTCCTCAAAATCACTGTCCCGAGCGTATTCAACACCTCGAAACCACCTAAGCAGAACAGTGGTCTCCGTGACCTTGGTATTACCGTCGATCCTGCCTGGATACAGCCGGGATACCCTGTTATAATTTGGGCGTATTGGACACCAGACCAACGCAGAATTTCGGTGCAGCTTGGCCATGACACTATTTTAGGGATGTGCAAGGTCCAAAAGGAAACCTGCCAGATGACGAGTTCGAGACCGGTGCTCGGCTGCGTCAGAAGCACCACGGGCTTAGGCTTTATCCACTCGTGTCTAATGGGTATCTATATAGGCACGCCCACTTACCTACTTTCACCCGTGGAGTTTGCGCAAAACCCCATCTCACTCTTCTTAACCCTAAGCCGATATAAGATAAAAGACACATATGCAACGCCCCAGATGCTCGACCACGCTATGAATACGATGCCCGGCAAGGGCTTCGCTATGCACGAACTAAAGAACATGATGATCTCGGCCGAAGGAAGGCCCCGCGTCGACGTATTCCAAAAGGTCAGACTCCATTTCGCGGCCACTGGCCTTGATAGGACGGCTATAAATACGGTATACTCACATGTACTAAATCCGATGGTTGCGTCGCGGTCGTATATGTGCATCGAGCCTATCGAGCTTTGGCTTGACCAACGGGCTCTTCGTAGAGGGTTAATCGTTCCTATAGATCCAGAGTCGGATCCGAAGGCCCTATTAGTTCAAGACTCCGGCATGGTGCCGGTTTCAACCCAAATAGCCATCGTCAATCCCGAGAGCCGGCTCCTCTGTACAGATGGGGAGTATGGAGAGATCTGGGTTGATTCAGAAGCATGCGTGAAGGCGTTCTACGGGTCCAGAGATCCCTTTGATGCCGAACGCTTCGATGGACGCACTATAGATGGCGATCCCAACATCAGTTATGTCCGAACTGGAGATCTCGGCTTTCTGCATAACGTCAGTCGGCCTATTGGACCGGGTGGGGCCCAAGTAGATATGCAGGTCCTTTTCGTACTAGGTAACATCGGCGAGACCTTCGAGATTAACGGTTTAAGCCATTTCCCGATGGATATAGAGGCCTCGGTTGAGAAATCCCATCGAAACATCGTTCCCGGTGGCTGGTAAGTTCAACTCTGCCAAAATGATGGCTCAAGGCTAACACAATATCTAGCGCCGTCTTCCAAGCAGGTGGACTCGTAGTCGTCCTTGTTGAAGTGTCACGCAAGGCTTATCTTGCGTCTATCGTCCCCGTCATCGTAAATGCTATTCTCAACGATCACCAGATAGTAGTTGATATAGTTGCCTTTGTGAACAAGGGCGATTTCCCTCGTAGTCGACTCGGTGAGAAGCAACGCGGCAAGATCTTGGCTAGTTGGGTTACTCGAAAGATGCGTACAGTCGCGCAATTCGCGATCCGCGACGCAGACTCCGGTAGTGTGGAGGGCGGCGATGGAGCGGGCGAGAACCACCGTGCTAGTGTGGGCAGTGTTCGAAGCAACAACGCTCCCGGAGCAAGTTCTCTAAGAAATATGGAGCACGCACCACAGATTTTAGAACAGGAAGAGCTAGATCATCAGATGAACAAGATGTCAGCCTTGCCTCACGCAGTGGACCTTTCCGCTAGCAACGAAAGAATTGTGGATATGGACCGCTTCAGCAACGGGGGCGTGCCGCTGAGACAATACCCGCAGCCACCGCAGATCCGCCTCCCCGGTGTCGACGGCCGCGAGGCTTCGAACGAGGCCATGTGGGCCCGCAGGCAAAGTAGTACAGGACAAGACGAGGAGTGGCAGCGCGATGCCCTGATGCACATGAATTTGGCCAACCAGATGCAGCGGCAAGATTAGAGGTCTGCCGTCTCGGGGCGCAGGGGTTTATACAGGGGGGTGAGGCGCGACAACCGCATATGACCGTGGTCTGGACTAGCTATCTATCTATCTATCTATCTATCCTGGCATACCAGTAGATGGTTGATACGGTCCGGATCCGGCCTTGGAGTTAACTGGTCTTGTGGGTTTTTGTGCGACTTGACTCCCGGTAACGAGGGTCTGGATAACAGTGTTTTTTTCTTCTTCTTCGAATAGCGTCAGGATTGGGCATTGGTTTTTCTGTACGGTATCGAGATATCACGAATCGGATGTCTACATGAGCATTGAGACGATACTCCGAGCCTAGTTATGAATTCTTCTGATTTAATATTTTTGGTATTCATGCTTACCTATCAATTTGACTGATATTTATCTCAACTAAGAAGTAAAATGAGGGTAGTTGGACATTGGGGTTGTTCCCTCGGCCATTTATCTAACTCCTATTAGGTCTAATAAAGATAATGGACGGCCTAAGACATCTTATTACTACTCAATAGTTGCAATTACTATCCAAGAAAAAAAAAAAAAACACCTCCCGGATCCCAATTAGATGGCTTCGGATTTGTTAACTGCATTGCTAGATATAATATGCGGAGCATGCACTCCTCGTCACCCTTCTATAAACGTGTTGAAATATAACTTCTACTAACAGTAACCAAAAGGCCACAAATTTGACTAGAAAATGTCGCAAAATTAGACATCAAGAGTTATAAATACCGCCATATATTAACAGACTTTACTATTCTCAATATACGAATATCACACGGACCGAAAACATATTACAATACTCTACGAAGGTAAAGACATGATAGATAGGCATTCAACCTTTGAATTATAGTGACTACACAACTGCGACACTAGGTAGAGAAAGTCGCGTCTTTTTACGTTACTCGTATAGAACATTTTCATTCTCATCGCATTAGATTCCATGATAGATTATAAAATCCCACGTTCATAGCTTGACGTTCTTCTCAGTCTCAGCCTTGATGGCAGAGCCGAGCTCGGGGTTGACCTTAGTGAACATGTCGTATGTTCGCTCCCGCGTGTCCTTGTGCGCATCCTTTAGGTGAACGGCGACGTTGTTGACGAAGTTCTCCTGTTGACCCGGGGTCCGGCCAAGGACCTTCCAGAGGCCATGGGCTTGCTCGTAGTCGTGGGGCTGGATCTCGTCGAATAGGTCGCTAACAGCGGCTCCGGACCATTTCTCGTGGGGATTCGTAGGCTTGATGGCCTGGTAAGTCAGGTTGCGGTAGCTGCTGGGGTAGTTGGGGTTGGCGCCGTAGTTTCCGTTTACGGACATGGCTCCGTCACGCTGGAAGGGGTTAAAAGCATGAAGGGGTGCGTTTACAGGGATTTGCTGGTAGTTGACACCGAGCCTGTGCCTGTGGGTGTCGGGGTATGAGAATAGACGGGACTGAAGTACGGGGTCTGCCGAGGGCTCGACACCAGGGACGAGATGCGACGGAGAGAAAGCGACTTGCTCAATCTCGGCGAAGTAGTTTTCCACGTTCTTGTTGAGTGTCAACTTGCCGAACCGTCGGAGAGGCACCTCAGCTTGTGGCCAGACCTTGGTCAAGTCAAAGATGTTCCACTTGAACTTCTCGGCTTGCTCTGGTGTTAAGACCTGTACATAGACGGTCCAGCTCGGGAAGTCGCCCTTTTGGATAGACTCAAACAGGTCCTGGGTTGAGAAGTCGGGGTTGTCAGAAGCCAACTTGCCGGCCTCCGCGTTGGTGAGGGTCTTGCTTCCTTGGTCAGTCTTCAGATGTACTTGGACATAGACAAAAGATCCGTCGGGCTTGGTCCATTTGTGGGTGTGGCCAGAGTAGCCGTTCATAAACCGGTATGAGTAAGGCGTGCCCCTATCAGAGAATAGGTGCATAACTTGGTGGACGCATTCTTGGTGGGTAGACTGATTTATGTTAGGACTTGCTTCCGTAAGGCATTACAAGTGGGCGGGTAAGTCAAGTGTACACATACCAAGTAGTCCCAGAACATAGTAGCATCCTTCAGGTTGGTCTGAGGGTTACGCTTCTGAGTGTGGATGAAGAGTGGGAAGTTGGTGGGATCTCGGAGGAAGAAGACGGGTGTGTTGTTGTAGACCCAGTCCCAGTTGCCCTCCTGAGTGTAGAACTTGAGGGCAAATCCTATAGCCCTAGTTAGCAATTGGGCACCAACTATTCTAAGCGGCAGTTAACATACCTCGAGGATCTCTGGCGCTGTCGGCCGACCCCTTTTCGCCACCGACGGTAGAGAATCGAACGACGGCTGGTGTCTTTTTACCAACACCAGTCAGCATATCAATAGAGCTGATATCGCTAATGTCGTCGGTGACTTCGAATTCACCGTAGGCGCCGGCACCCTTGGCGTGGACGACACGCTCAGGGATACGCTCGCGGTCAAAGTGGGCGAGTAGATCAATCAAGTGGAAGTCTTGAAGTAGGAGGGGACCATGAGTGCCAACTCGCTGCCACTTAGAGGGATTCTCGATAGGGAAGCCATTGGAAGTAGTGTACACGGGCTTATCGTTGTACCTAAAGGTAGACGCGGGCTTCTCGTTGGCGACCATCTTTACGACTAAGGGAGTTGAAATAGATAGGAGTCAACGATTAATAAGGCGGAACTGGTACAACGGCTATTTTGTTTTGGGTATCTTAGAAAGCAGGCTGTCCAAATAACTCAGGGGCGCTACCTGAGCTTCGGGAGTAGAGTCGTGTTACTACGTAGACGAAGAAGTCCCCCTCACACAGATAGAGCTTCTTATATACGTACGTAGGTAGGGGTACGAATGGATAACTAGGTTTGTGCAAACCGGAGGGAACGTAAGATATCAATCGAGCTGAGGAAAAGGGGGGATGAACAGATATAAATACTTAACCTAACCTACCTTAACTCGTCCTACCTGGCTTTGTTAATAAGAGACGCCGGATGTACATGACAAGAAAAGTTTCAACTACATTTCATGAAACCGCCCCCCCTCTTTCTCTTCTCTCTCTCCACTCCTTCCACTCCTCGCATCATCGTAGCAATGCGCTACTCCAACTATTCATCTGACCACTTACATACGAGCTGCGGCGGGCTTTGTATGTATGCGTCGTGCTTGCTCTAGTAGCACGGTCATATACACTACCTATGTATGGGGTTTGATGAAGGACAGGGGAGGTGAGCCAAGGAGAGACTTGCCTAGGCTCCGGGGGTGGAGAAAGATGAGAGGTCGATAAAAGTGACGAAAGTAACGAAAGTACGTAACGGGAGATGGGTCCGGAGTGGGTTCAGGTCTGCATTTGGTAAACCCAACTACCCAACTATGCAAACTACCAGACTTTGGGAAGTGGGGTAAATCTACTGGGCCGGGGTTGACCAATTAGATAATTGCTAATTGAGAGCTGTGAGCTTTTAGTAACCTTTTTAAGTTGCCCCGCGATTTACCGGCATCCCTCCAATACCTACTTCTTCTAATACACATCCATGCCTTGCCTACTTTGTATACCCAGGTAGGTATGTAACAACTTCAAGACATCCTCGTCGCTATGCTATATCTTCTCTTATAAAATACAATTCGGCAAGTAGCCATAAGACCTATAAGGAGTTCGGTCTCTCTCGGTATTCGCTATCTCTACGGATTCTCTAGTCTCTTTAGCCTTCACGCTTGACCTATACTACAGTCTTACGCGACGCGTATTAGACTGATTACCTGCTTTTTTTTTTTTTTTTTTTTTTTTTTTTTTTTTTTTTTTTTTGGTTGGTGACTTTATCGGACACCCGAAAGAGGCTAGGCGAGGGCGGGAATGAAAATT